GGCGCGTTCCACCAAAACTTACGGCCGTGTCAGAACCATGCTGCTACCCCTACTCTTGTTATCCCTAGACAAGGGAGATTTCAGAGGAGGCGTATGTGGCCTTAAGGGCAAGCAATCGGCCGGAGCAGTCTGCAGCATTGCGGGCCTGTTCACACTGCGGCAGCTCGTGGCCAAATCCCATACAGATGCTCTGGATGTCAGTCATCATGTCAGCCTCAGTAAGCACCCGCGTTGAAACATGTTAAAACTCAAAGTTGGGGTGCAGAGCCCCAGCGGCCTGTTCGCCACGAACTGGCCATCCATACTGGCCACAGCAGTGGCGATCCTTGACGCCTGAGAGTTGGAAGACCAGGAAGTGGCTAAGCATTTCTAAGCCTAACATGGTGAAGAAGCGGCTTTAAAAAATGGACTCTGTGCGCACCCTTCCCTCGCTTGCACGTTGCCCACAGCACGCACATCTGCAGATTCCCATGGCCCTCGACCATTTTGGGTCCAAAGTTGATTGGCCGTTTCTGGCCAAGGCACAAGTTCGTGCATCAGAGCAGCTTTGAAGAAAACGTTGTGTGCATCTCTGAGTGTGCTTTGAGTGTGGGGTTCCTGCATCTCTGGGCTAGCGGCTAAAGTCCTTCTGCATCAAAAGCAGAAGTCAACAAGAGCGAACAAGAAGCCGCGCTTGGTGTCCAAGGCACACATGAAGAAGCCAGAGAAGGCCTCGCAAGCGACTCGGACCAAGTAGGTTGACGGTGGGCTTAGTCTGTCAAAGCGCGCGCCTTGCAAACCTCTGGTGTCAAATCGCTCAGGTCACCTCAGCATGGACCCCCGAATCTTGGAGAGGGGCCAAGTCGGAACCGAAAAAGTCCACAGGGCTAATTGACACGAACGCAACTCAACAGGACCTTCATGACAAGCTGCTGACGCTGGAGGTATCCAAACCCGAAGCCATCAGCTGGAGAGCGCACGCTCCGAGATCGTATGGCTCGCACTGGCAGGGCAAGAAGCTTCTCAAAAGGGGGAGGGGGGGAGGTGGGCCTCAAACTCAAAACCCCTCACCTGGCGGGCTTAGTACTCTCAGGATCGAGGCGCGGCACTATAATTGAATGTGGGAGCAATATTCGACAATGGTGGTACCCAGAGGCAAACTCTGTCCAGGCGGAATTCAGGGCACCCCCAGGTCCCAAGCCACTCCTGCTCATGGCCGTCATCATGGTCCTGTCGCTACTTCTTGACTCGCTACAACATGCGCATCTTGCTGGGGTTGAGGGGCAGAGGCCATAGAGGCCTTTTGGGGCATCAACCTCTGCCAGCTACATACCTGACTGACCTGTCTCCTGTCCCTTGTCGGATTCTCTGTCCTTCATGCAGGACAGGGGCATGTAAAGGGCCTCACAGATCCCATCCATCTGTTGGAGCTCAGCCTCTGCGGGAACCAAGATGCAGTCGGAATGCTTGGCAAATCAAGCACCACCTTCCGTATCACAATGATGTTGCTTGCGAAGGCTCCATCTCATACTCGCCACAGCAGCTGGCCCTCTCGTAGCCTCGGCGCAGGAATACGAGGGCATCCTTGAGCACCCACTGGGAAACCTCCCAGATGCTTTAAGCAAAACGTGAGGAGCAGTGCTCAGACTTGGAAGAGCCATGTACAGGTATGTACAGGTCGTCTTGCTGCCCAGCTGCACATTGAGAACTGCTTCGACACCTGCCCACAGCATCACAAAGAAACAGGAAGGGAGCGTCGGGCTGCAATGGCATTGCAAAGCCTTCCAGGCATCTTTTTTGTCCTTCCATTTGGTTCCTGCTTCATATTCGGTCTTTTTCGGCAAGGTTCTGACACCGCCTTGCGCAACATGGACATGGCTGTAGCCGGGCGCTTCCTAGTCAACTAGATGCAGTTGGAGCTTAACTTTCGCGCGGAGTTCCGAGCAGCAAGCCTTCGTGGGTCGTCTTGACCAAGTACATCGGCCAGGTCGCAACCATGCTTTGTGTCACGCTGGCATCATATCGCGCCAGGCCAAACACGTGGCCGAGGCGCCACTTCTACGCGGATCTTGGGAAAAGTTAAGACAACCCAGGCCTTGCCACAGCACCAGCCTTGCCAGGGTTCCTCCTCCTTCGCGCCGTCTCGTGACGTCGAAACCCCAGTGCACAGTCCTCGATACCGGCGCCTTCCGGGCTCCAGGGTGTAGCGCAGGCGGTCCACCTTCCTGCAAGAGCTCTGGAGCTCGGGAGCTCGGGCAAGTTAAGCACGGAAAGCAGGTTGCTTGATGTCCAGTAGGACCAGCTCGTAGGGAGCCAGACGGTGATGTCCAGGAGCAGCCCGCCTGTGTCTTCCCACTCCAGTGTTTTGGCCATGAAATGTTCGATTTACGCCACCAGAGCTGCGAACGCTTCTTGGGCGAAGACGGCAAGGACAGGGCGGCCCCTGCAAGGCAGGAAGAGGAACCCCCTTCACATCCAGCCTACAGGGCTTGCAGGCACCTGTCGTCTTATGCAGCACCCGAGCTGCACGTGTCACAGAAGCCTGGCGGCGTGGTGTCCTGGCTCTCAGTCGTGCATCCCAGGCCGCAGCTGTGGCTTTTAAAGACATCTTGGCCGTGGCTGGGCACGAGGTCGCCAGCTTTCGATCGGCAAGGGATTGAGCAGTGGTGAGAAGCAAAACGTATGGCGTGCTGAGTGACTTGCTGGAATCTCATTGACAGTCTGCGGACATGGCTGCTGGTTCTGCCCATGCTTAGCATGATGGTGGGAGTGGACATTTGACAAGATAATGGGCAGGCACGTGCGGTGGCCTCGCATGACTTCACCCAAAACTCGTCCGACATGGATCCCTTAGCAAGCCGGGAATCAACTTGTTGCGGTGCGCATCCACTCTTTCACACTTCGACCTTCAAATCAGGGTCTGATTTTTGGGAGGTTGCCCACCTGCAGGTAAGCAGCATCAGAGCTGGTGAGATTTGACAGATTCATGACCATGTTCATTCGCTGCATGTCGCAGTGGAACTTCTCGGTTCTGTCGCAGCCATCCTCCAAGAAGCTCATTTTTGATGAGCGGGGTTGCTCTAGATTTTGGCTTGCTGTAGTATGTGTCATTTTATCTTTCTGTTCTTAGGGGAGGGGGTCGGTTTCGTCGTATGTCCATCATCATGGCCATGTAGCATAATTACTGGGACACTGGTGTAGCACAACACATTGGGCATCGCGAGGCCGTACCCGGATCTGTGCCAGGCTTCCGGAAAACACACTTGCAGCCTACCAGCGTTTAGGCTTTGGGTTTAGGGATTTAGGGGTTTCGCCCCTCAAAGACTCAAAAACATGGCCCAACCGTCCTCCTCACGTTGACCGTCCTTGGACAAAGAGACTAATAAACACACCGACATCACGTCCGGCAAAACAGCTTCTCAATGGTGCTAGCAGAACAAGCCTGGAGAAGATGGTACATCCTTTTTGTCCATGTATCAAGCTCTGCCGCTCAAGAAACATACTTGCAGCATAGGATCATCGCAAACAAAAACATATCCTCTCGCGGCACACGTGGGCATCGCCGTGAAAACTTCCACCTTACAGCAAACGCCACTGCACAGCGCAGTAGATTATACAATTATGCTAACGATGCTATACGATATTGCTTATACTAAAGGCATTCCCCGTTCTCTGAAGTGAAATGAAATGATATGATATGGTATGATATGATATGATATGACGATGTAATATTCTGTACTGCATAAGACTGTGTCCTCTGGAAGCTCATGGCTTCTGGAAGTAGCGGAATGAAAGCCACGGTGCTGGTATGAGTTCGTCGGCCTCTCGGGTTGCACAGCATCCTGCTCTTCGAACACCTCCGCATCCAAATCACTTCCCCATCTCCGGTCATATGCTACTCAGGGTACTACAGAAAAAACCTTCGCAAATAGCATCTGAAGGGCATCCTGATATCTCAAGATGGTGTGTTCTGTCCAGAACTTGAAGCCGTGGCACACTGGGTGACGTCGTCGCCCAACTGAGCAGGAACGGGCGGGGTTTGTTCTCTGTTGCTCGGGTGGCAGATAGGAGGTCTCAAGAAGGGCGAGGAGGTGCAAAGAACAGACTCGGACGTTTAAACCTTCCCAGGCCCCCGCCCCCCCCCAACCCCTAAAACCCTCAAGCCCCTAACCTCGGGGTCCCAGTTGGGTCCAAGGCACTCTGCAGAAGTCATCCGGGAAGGAGTTGAGGAATGGAAGGTTTTCCTTCATGCGGGACACGATGCCCCGGCATTCTTCCAGCATCATGTGGTCGCAGTGCATGGGCTCCTGGAAGGGCTGGACCCTCATTTTCCCCCTCTTTTAGGCTTCGGGTTTTGGGGTTTCGGGTTCCTTTTGGGCTTTTTAGCACAGGTCCTCAAGGATATTCTCAAAAGTTCAGCCATAAGGGGTGAAAATAGACACGGCTACACCCTGCATCCCCTCCTGTCGACAGATGGGCGCGTATTTGTAGCCAGCACGGTCACAGACAATCGGCAAGAAGTCCTCACCTGTCATCAGAGCCGCCTTAGCATGCATCCCGGGGAAACTCTTCCAGAATTCGTGGCATGGCGTCTGACAAGACTCCTTCTTACAATGGACTAGGCAAGCTGGACTTGCAATGGAGTTTTTTTCTGGAACTGCTAGATCTAACCTCCATCCCTCTTGCTAATTGCAGCACATGAGCTGGAAGGACTTCCATCGCGTCTTCACAGCAAGTTGTGTTCAGAAGGCCTCATGACATCGCGAGTGGCCGGCAGGGCACTTCAGGCATTACTGCCGCGCATCTCATCACTAGATACTCAGCTGCTTTCAGTAAAGTCCGGCTGGCACACCGGGCATGATAGCTCAACGACTCCCAGGCGGTCTAGCAACGGAGCTCCCTCTACAAGCCCGCACTGCGCAAACACTCAACTGTTTTCTTGCATCGAGTGCAGGTGGGCGGCACGTCTCGATGCCGATGCCCATCTGAGAAAAGACACCCAGCAAGAGTCTGCTCTGGAGCTACGGCCGAAAAAGGTAAGACTTCCAAGCTGCTACAAAGCTCCTTGTAACAGCATGCCGGAGAAGCTCTGGGGCCCGGGCCAGGCATATCTGGCCCAACTCGTCCACAGACATGTTCTTCAGTACCATCATGTCAATCTCGGGCATGGGCATGTCGGTATGGTCGGTGCTGGTGTGGTCCGAATGGGTCGTGTTCGTCATGTTCGGCTTGTGTGGGGGCTTACGAACGATCAGACCACTGCGGTTGACGATGTCGGCGAGCTCTTGCGCTGCGTCGCCACAGGTGTCGTAGGCGGGTCTGTCGCAGCGTGACTCTCTGTCGTCCTCCCCGTCCTCCTGCAGGCAAGAGAAAAGAGAAGTATTGTCTTGTGTCCCATGCCATGTACTTATAAAGCAATTCGTCTGTTTCTTGGTTTGACTACTGCACTTACAGGTCCTCGTCCCGGGGGCAGTAAGCCGTCTGATTCATGCCAACTTGACTGCAGCTGACCTCAATGTCCAAATCGAGCAGCGCCTCCTGAGGTTACGCGAGCAATGCAAAAACACAAAAACGCAGGAGTTGATGCTACGCCGGGCCGCTACGCACCTTGGACAAGCAAAAACACTGCGGACTACCTGTGCTCATCGTGCCAATCTTCGCCCGAAGGGTTTTTTAAGGTTACAGTGCCTCTCACCATCCAATGCAACTGGGGAGCCGGTATGTACTTCCTTGCGTCATGGCAGCAGCCGTAGTTGTTGAAGCCTTATCACTGAAGCTCCATCAAGAACAGGCATCCGTGTCCTCTACATTGTCCACGACATGCAGCACGCAAAGCTCAAAAAACAACGGTGCTGCATCAGCGCCAGAACACACAGCACCAAACAAAGAAGCGAATGCCAGCCCTGACCTTCGATCAAGCCTCTTCTGCAACCAAGCTTCACATCTCAATTTCTTGTCCCAACTGAGTCAGGGGCAAAGTCGCTTGCTCAGGGGAGCTTGCAGCTTCACTAAACCCAAAGTGTCGATGACATTGCCAAGCACTTGCCCGCAAGCAAAACACGGCTAACACCGGGCAAGCAGCAATGCAAATCATGTGAGCATCGGAATCGCTCGGAGATGTATGATTCCTGAACTGTCCACGGTGCAAGGACGGCTGCGGACTTGGCATAGCAGGCACAAAAGCACTCTTGCTGCCGCGCGCGTGCTTCAGCGTGCGTCTCAAAGCCATATCGCGGGCAGCGGCCGAGCGTCATGCGCTGGTAAGAATAGTTCAGCTCGTAGATGAGGCCGTTGCAGGCCTAAGTTCGGGCTCCATGGGGCCAGAAAACCCGATACACCTCTTCCAACTCGAGAGAGAAAACTCCGAATCCACCCCCCAGGCTGTACATGAGCGCATGCAATCCCTCACCGGTCATGATGTGCCTTTCGCTGGTCTCTCCTAACTCCTCCCCACGACTTTGCGGAAAACCTTTCCGAGCATCCCCGGTTGCCCTGACCCTGCCTCGACAAGCGTGTGGTTGCACTGCTCCTTGGGCCACTTTGAGGTCTGGGGTTGCGGCGAAGGGGAGGCGAAGGGGGATCCCTCCTCCCCGACCGCGGCTATCGACCCACCGCGCGGCAGACACAGCGAATCCCCAAATGGACCCCCCGGTGCGAAAACCTGACAAGTTGCACGTCTCGCAAGGCAGTGCTGCAAAGGTCTGCCGTTTGATGACTCATACCCCCGGAAATGTCGATTTCAGGATGCTTGTACTCAATTAAACTGCGATTCCAACTAAGATTACAAATCAATGAGAAGTCAGCCGGCTCACGGAAACATCGCTTCCGGTACTAAGCTGGGACTAGTACTTCACCTGCGATCAAAGGTTACCGAAAACATGAATTCTGCCACTAGACGCTCGATCATAGATTGAGGTAGACATGCTGTACTTACCACTGACGGGACCTTTTGCACTTAGGGCATGCACCCAGCAGCTGAGCAGCTGGAACCTCATGCATTGTTGGACATTTCTGACCCTGTTGCCGGCATGCATGGAACCTGCCAAACACGAGGCCCGCAGATTTGCGGCGTCCTGTCCTTGTCATCCTTGTCATCCTTGTCATCCTTGTCTCCGTCATCCTTGTCCTTGTCATCGGGCCAGAGTACCTAGCACTCAGCTCTGAGCGCGTCCGATGGGATGCTTGTGGCACGTGGCAGGTTCACCCTAGGTATCCATCTGCCTGCAACCGTGGTCCCTCGCAATGACAGACAAAGACAGCGACGAAAGAAGATCAAATGGAGTGCAGAAGCAAGGTGCAGCGTCACGCACAATCTCCTTTCTGCACTGCCTGATCCGAGTCTGGGGACCAGGCCGAGCAAACAGACGGTCGCCAGTAGCCCGCGCTTTTGCAGATTCCGTCGAAGTCGGCCATGGTGCCGTCCCGGGTGGTCTGTCGCAAGCCAGCGTTTATGTCACAAAAAACTCGCCCGGTGCCCACGTGCTCCTTTGTAAAGCTGGGTTGAACAATCGACTTGAGCCTATGGCACATGGCCTCCTAAACCCTAAACCCTGAACCCTAAACCCGAAACCCTAAACACCACTAAGTGAACCCAAAGCCATGTCCAGGTCGAGTGGCCAGGGACAGTAAGCTTGGACGCTTCTCGCAGCAGTGGGTCTTTGCAAAGCCTGGAAACAGCAGATGTATTGTCTGGCTGCGCTCCTGATGCCTTTATCAACACTTCAGAGTAGTTACCTAGCTTTTGGTGAATACTCTCCTCGGACATGCTGCTCACATCTTGGGCTGTCGGCGAAGACATGAAACTGGACAGAATGCAGAGATGCGCAACGGCCCCCAACAATCCGAGGTGCACGAGTCCACGTTGACGCTCATCTCAGCTGCGCAGCTCTGAAGCTAAGGTGAGTCTGGAGTTTAGGGCTTAGGGCTCAGGGGGCTTTGCATCAGGCAGTGCAGGAACGCCCCAGCGGGCTTGCGCAAGTTCCGTAACAGGACTCGGGGGGGGGGGGGTTGAAGAGCCGAGTGCAGGATATCTGCCACCCATGGAGGCTGAGGAGGCCACGAGACAAACGAGCTCCAGCTCCATCATTGACGCGCTCGAAACGTTCATCATGCTGAGCATGTGCTCCAGGTCGTGCAGTGGCGGGTTCTTAGCATCAGGGAATTGTGGCAGATTTGCAGCTCTTGGACAGCTCAGCTTGCCCCTTGCTCGCTGGCGCTGCTGGTCTAGGCTTACGGTGTCCAGGCAACCGTCTCTATGTGAGTCAGGGAGCACAGCGACCGCATCTATCCTGCCAGCGCCCCAGAACAGCTTCATTTTGACGGATGCTTGTTTTTAAGTCAACCGAAGTGAGTTGTCGGTTGTCCTCATGGTCGTCGTGATCGTCGCCCTCCTGTGACCGACTGGCCATGCCAGTAGCACCGGCTAGCGTGATGACGTTGCAAAACGGTGAAGGTACACGGTTCTCACTTTGGCTTGACAGTGGATGCTACGGACGGTTATTGGTACCAATCTGGGATGCAAAAATGCAGTGTGCGCGCGGAGCACACCCCGGCCCCGTCGCACAGCGGCGTGTAGTTCTGACCCGGTATATCACAGAGCTCGCGGATATCCACCTTCATCAGCTCCTCCTCAACATGGACTACAATGACTACAACAGCTGCCTTGCTAGTGGTACATCAGCTCACTTCGAAGGCTTCATCCCAGCTTAGCAGCCGGAATGATCTTCTCCGCTTCATGGCAGCAGCTGTACTCGGAGATGCCTCTGCCACGAGAGAGGGGGGGCTGCATGATGCTTGCATGGTCAGTACAAAATTCAGGCCAGCAACATGCTTCCACGTCCCGAGCAGCCTCAGCTTCTTCTGCCCCCCCCCCCCCCCCCCCCCCCCGAAGTTTTGAGGGTTTTGGGGGGGGCTTTGGGGGCTTTGGTCCTCTGCATGTTGCTGTCCATTCTCAGGCTCGGGCCATGCACCTCGCCTCCATCTCTTGGCTGGACATGTTGGATGCATTGCTCATCACGTTCATGGCAACTGCGTTGGCTATGGAAGCGTTGCACTGCATCACCCCTGTGCGATTGCACATTGGCCCATCATGGTCTTTCTCGTCCTGAGCAGTATGACCAGCATGCTAGGAAGTCGAACAACTCGCACACGGCACCCAAATCTGGAGAATTCAAACGAACAGTCACATCCCCGCCTCGCACATTTTGGGGCGCTTGAACGTCGCATTCTCACATATCTCGCCGAAATCGAGCGAATACTGGCTCTCCTCGGCACACTTGGAGCGGCTCCGATGAGGGCGAACAGCGGGGGTCACGCAAGACGAGACAACTCCATCGGCTCAGGATTCACAGGTTCAGAGACTCTTCTTTGCCTCCTTTTTTGCTCTAAACCCGAAACCCGAAACCCTAAGCCCTAAACCCTAAGGCCGAGGAACAAGGGCGTGCAGCTCCCGTGTCTTGCCGCAGCACATGGACTGGGCGAAGCCTGGACCAAGCTTACCGGGACCACACGTGACAACTTGATTTAGGGTTCAGGGTTCAGGGTTCAGGGTTCAGGGTTCAGGGTTCAGGGTTCAGGGTTCAGGGTTCAGGGTTTAGGGTTTAGGGTTTAGGGTTTAGGGTTTAGGGCTTAGGGTTTAGGGTTTAGGGTTAGCGTTTAGGGTTCAACCGCAGCTCCTACTCAAGATCAAAGCCGTGGGCTGGTGCTTCCCAAACCAGACGAACCATCATTGCTTCCAAGAGGCATCCCTCCACCGCAATGCTCATCTGGGTAGGGAGAGGGGTTTAGGGTTTAGGGCTTAGGGTTTAGGGTTTAGGGTTTAGGGTTTAGGGTTTAGAGTTGGAATTGCTGCTTGAATAAGCCCCCGAAACCCCTTCAAGCCCTACCTTGCCTCAATTTCTCAACAACGCATGCCCGGAGAGGTTGAGACGATTTAGGTAATCACATGACCCCCAAAATACTCTACTCCAAAACGGGTTCAACCCGATTCTCGGAAACCCCCATCTTGGGGATTGAAACCGCATTCGAGAGACTTCTTAGACCCCGAGGCTGAGGTCGGCGCAACGCACAGCTTCTGATTGTCCAGTCCCATGCGAGCCCCGGCGGCCAGGTACGCGCTGAGATCGTTGAAGAAGGGATCCTGACCAGACTGGCAGTTACTTTTACCAAGCAAAACCATATGAAGCTGCATTGGATCAGTTTTTGTGACTAGCTCCATTAGATTCAGCACCCGAGGCTACACCCACGCTCTTCTGCTGCAAAGACGCACACAGAGTGGTCTGGTTGCAATGCTCCTGGGCGGCGTAGGCCAACACAGAACGACAACTGCAGCACGGCAACGACAACAAGGATGGCACAACGGACCATGTGGTTCCGCGCGTTCGCAGGCAAGAGCACTGGCAGTGGCAGGCGCAATTCTTGCACAACCGGTTAGACTCACCTTTGCTTGGGATGCATCGAACTACATAGACATTCGCTTGAGATGCGTCGATTTACATGGGTTTTTGCATTGGCATGCACCGACGTACACGTAGTACGGGGTTAAGGGGCAGACTTTCGCATGTGTTGAGGGCTGCGTGTGGCTTCCGGCAGCCGCATACTGATAACAGGCTTTGGAGACCCTCGGATCACCTTGCATCTACTAGGATTGTCGCGCGGAGCTTCATCTCAGCCACCGTCGTCAGCCCTTTCCAGGCATGCTTTTGCAGCCAGGGGGCCCCATGATGTGGGGGATGGTCCTCATGATCCTCATCATCCTCGTCACGGTGATTTTCATCATCCTCCTTGGAGTCTTCTTTCCCTTCTTCATCACCGTGATCTTCATGATCCTTGGAGTCCATTGCCTCGGCATACGGACTCCCCTACCCGGCAACTTGCTCATGGCTCAACCCATAAAGGCACACACACACACACCACGTCGCACTGCAGTTGCTAGCTGATCCTGTAGTGGAGTAGCAGCCATGATGCACACAGTCTTGGGTCTGGGTTTTGGAATGGTGGCCTGTTCTGGGTCAAAGAGCCTCAAACCCCCCTTCTTTTTGTTGGGCCACTATTGGGCACGAGATGCATGGGAGCAGATCATGCCTTGCGAGTAGTTGTACCCGGCGCTGTGGCAGATTTCAGTGAAGTCCATCTCCCGCAGGTACATCTGAGATGGCTGGCACCCGGGCTTTCTAGGATTTTGTGTGGGGCTTAGGATTTAGGGCCTGGGGCTTCGGGTTGTGGAGCACATGGTCGCCGGAGCTACAAAAAAGGTATGCATCCAGGACACCGGGACACGGTTTCCACCTTCTGTGCAGCATCCGGCCGCTGCGAAGCCTCAGCTAGGGGCCATGTTTGACTGACAGGAGCCCTCAGACGGGACTTTACGAAAATGAAGGGGACCCCTAAGACCGACCCCCAAAGAGTAGGATCCCCTTATAAAAAGGACTCCATTAAGGCAGCCCTATAGTCTGAAACCCCAGATGCCTTCGAACCTTAGGATGCTGCGCCAAGCTGTCGGAGCAGGGCTGCCCTGAGGCATGTTGAGACATGCCAGAGACAAGGACGCGACATGTAAGCAACCACGGGACGCAACCACTGCATGGCAACACGCAGCAGAGCAAAGGAAAGTGCGGAAAGCTAAGACAACACGGGATGGCACAAGATGCCTGTAGAGATGCTGCCAGTTTCACATAGTTTGGGCATGCTCCCGAAAAATGCTTTCTGGGGTTGACAAGCAGGCCTCCACAAGCTCAACCAGACATCCTGCCGCCTCCCCGTTTCAAAGGATTACGAAGAAAGGGGAAGCAAAAGGGCTCAACCATCGTCCCCTAGCGGTGCAGTAGAAGAATGATACATGATCCAACGAATGTACATAGCAACACAACGTTTGACGGTGGGTCCTGTGTTCATTGACTTGCAGAATGTTGCTTGCAGAGACATGGTACTACGGGCATAAAAGAGGAAAAATCGACGAGCAGGGTTTTTTCTCCGTGCCGGTTGCTGGACGGCCGGGGGCTGGGGAGCGACGCAATCTAAGCTCAAGGTCCTGGCCTCGCTATCAGAGCCCATCGGGGCATCTTGAGACCCAAGGTCTTTGATTTCAAAAACCCCGCGACGACTGCAATGCCAAGTTGCAGGACTCGATGGTAAAGGCGAACTTAGATGTCTTGCAGGCCATGACTTTGCCGAGAGAAGGGCCGACATGGATCTACTATGTCTACTCGAGGGCTGGACGTAGCACCAGTCCTTCATCTGGTCCGTGTCGTTGCCTCAAGTGGCACACGTCAAAATGAATGCGGAAGACCCAATCTTGCATGCATTCTTTTCAACGCCGCGGTGCCAGTCGTGATGCCAGCCGCCGTGGTGCTCTTGTTGACCATGGAGCCCAAAGTTGCCACATAGTGGTTGCAGTCCTTGAGCTTTTCCTCGCAGGTCTCCTTCGAGCTGCCCGAGAAACAAAGGGGGAATGGCGCCATGCGAGCGATCAACAAGGTATCTACTTGACAGCAACTGCTCTCCGGCCTTGAGCATGTTGCCAACCCTTCTAAAGGGACTGTGACACAACTCCTCTTCTATGCCCTGGCCCGCAAAGTACAGAACCTTATATGCCCCTGGCCCAGGAAGAACCCCGAAAAACAAGCCCTTGTTTTCGTGGAACAGGTGGGAGAGCCACGTCCTCGTGGGGATCCTTTGGCGGAAGGCGTGGGTCCTGCACACAGCTGCAGACACTCCCTTGGTCGGCACCGAAGCTGGCGAACCTCCCCGCGCCTCACGGCAAACTCCGGTGTAGAGATAGTCTGGTGCTTCGCAGTACTGCGCCGCAGAAAGGTTGTGCATGCTCTCCTTAGTGTGGCTTAGGGGTAGTGAGAGCTGCAAGGCAGCTTGGGAGCTTCTGGTCTTCGTCTTCGTCCAAAATCTGCTCGCGCTCCTTCTGCTGAGCTGCTACGAATACACAAACACGGCTTACAAGGACTGCAACGACTACGACTACCCCATCGACTGCGACTGCTGCTGCTCATGCTTCCTGGCATCGCCGTCGTGAGGTTCTTACTTGCTTGCCATTTTCTCTGCAGTGCAAGATAGTGTAAGTGAACCTTCCAAAATGAGCACCTGTGTGACAGGTCAGCTCAACTTGTGCTGAAGTGTGGTTGGGCCAGGGCGCCGGGAAATACCGCCCCGCGTTTTCGCAGCACCCGGCAGAGAACAGGCCTTACTGTCTGCTTCAACGGGGCCACACTAACAATGCCAATGCCCTGATCGGGCGGGGACTCTAAAGACCCTTGCAAAAAAGCATGGACAAGTCTCGGCGCATCATATCTGCGGACAGGCTGCATGCTTCCACGCTGTCGAACAACTCAGCTGCACACAACATGTCAGCCGACACGGCACACAGTTCTCCCGAACAAGGAATGCTGCTTCTGAGGCGGGCGTGCTCTAAGGTGCTAAGGTGGGAGCTACGCAGTAATATCGGCTTTGATCGGAGTCCAGGCTCGTCAAGTTGGTGCCTCGGATGACCATGCCGAGCCACGGCATCCTTGCTTCCGGCAACTGCAGCCCGGCGGCCGTTTACGAAGGCGATGGACATGTCAATCAAGGGCTTGCACATCTCAAGCTTCTTTTCGTCACACATGTCCCAGTCTGCTGGTCCCTGCACAAGGCTTCTTGTGTGAAGAGCTGGCACTGGAAAGCCGAGCTCACTACTCCTCGCTCATGCACCAGCAGAAACGCTGGCATCGGTTCTGTATGTCCGACCCATGATATAAGCTTTTAGTTGAACAGAGCTTAACAAGTCTGATATCTGCGGATTCACCAAATATGCGTACCAAACCACCCACCTACTCCAATGAACTCATGCAGCGCATGCCTCGTGGCAGATCTTGGCGTATCTATAGCCTCCACAGACGGTGCAGCACCGTTCAGGCCAAGGTCAAAACATGTGCGTTCAGCGCTGCCTCCGCCCTCACACATTTTCCACATGTCGATGTCATGCTCCGCCACCTGGGTCCACATGTGGAGGGGTGGGGGTTGGGGGGGGGTTGGGGGGGGGGTTCCTTCTCATGATTTGCAGGCATCTGAGATGGAGGGCAGAGGATGCACTGTTTGAGTCACTGTTTTTGTTTTAGGCAAGTCGGCGGGGTTCATCGTCTCCTCGCCGCAGCAGCTGGTGTTCTTGAAGCCTGAACTGCCGCGCACTGCTGCTTTACGCCTTTAGGCTTCACGAGGAGCCACCACAGAGCCACCACAACACAAAGCGAAGCCCCATCCGTGGGCCGAGGGGCAGGTCTCGACTCCAAGACCCATCTTAGTGAGTTGGGTCGGTCACTTTGCTTCACTTTGCTTGGAACATGCAACTGTCGCTTTTGCAGCTGAGGCAGGTTCCAGGCAGATGGAAGTCATGTCATCGTCGGTGAGGTTCCGCCGGGAAGTTTCATTCAGGAAGGCTTTCAGCTCATGGACTTGCATGGAGCACATATCCTCCTTGCATCCCTTCTCCTGCACAGATCAGCGTACCAGAGAAGCGACTACGGACATGACTCTGGCTGCCACGAAGACGATGACGACGACGACTGCGACGCCTCTTCCGAACACACATAGACGGAACTTCTCTGCAAACACATGCACATAGCCTCACACCCCACCCAACCCCCCTCCCCCCAACTCCCCCCCCCCCCCTCCCCCCCACCCCTCCCCCCCACCCCTCCCCCCCACCCCTCCCCCCCACCCCGTCCCCCCCACCCCCCCCCCCACCCCTCCCCCCACCCCTCCCCCCACCCCCTCCCCCCCCCGCCGTCCTTCTCATCCTCGTCATCCTCGTCGTCCTCGTCGTCCTTGTCGCCCTGGCAGGAAACCCTAAATACAAAACCACCACGGCCACGTCAATATCATGATGATGCGATGATGTCTTAAGGCTCTAGGGAGTGAGGGGGTTTGCAAAGCCTCAGCTAGGCCAGAACCCCTTGCCAAGCCTCCTGGCATGGGTTCTTGGCATCGGGCACGGTTTTCTGGCAGACCTCGAAGGCCATCTCGTAACCTGCCGCAAGGCTTCGGAGATGCATGCCTCTCACTGCACGCCGGTTCAGGCTGGGCAGAGATGGAAAGAGGCATGCACCGGCTCACACACACACAATATATATATATATATACCTTGGGAAGCCTGAAGCCCTGCCTGTTGCCCCCCTGTGGCAGCAGTCCTCGAGCTCCCAGCATTCCACCATATCTGCCAAGAGAGCCAAGCAAAGCTTCGCATTCCGGAGAACAAGGCTTTTCCTTACGTCAAGAAACCTTATATGTGTAGCAATACTTTACCAGCTGCGAACCTAAACTGACCTGAACCCTGAAATCCTCTGCTCCTCATTCAGTCGAGTTCGGCTTCGGATCATGTCAGATCTACCTAAGGGTGACGCTTCCGGCCTACAAGCTTCTTGCACATATCCTGCGTCCAGAAGTCCTGATGCCAGTCGGGGACGCGGCCGGGGGATGGATGTGGGAGAGGTGGGAGTATTGACTCGGAGTGGAAGAGTTGGTGCAAGGGCTCCTCTCCGCCGTCCATGGTGACATTGAGCAACTCCGATGGAACGCAAGCGTCCGCTTTGGCCTGTGGATGTGAAGAGAGCGCCGTGCTCAGCCCAAAAGTGACTACTGCAGCTGCCCCCCGTCCTGCCCTCCACCTGCAACCGTTTTCGTGCTCACGGAACATGCCCGAGCCCGCCTCGTCACACTCGCCGTCCTGGCTTGACGACCCCCAGGCGCAAAAGCTCAAAACAATTTTGGACTCCGAAGTTACATGCACTAGGCTCACTAGGCCTGAGGTTGCAGGCCTGGGGCGAAGGCCCTCGGTTAGCGCAACCCTGAACCAGAAAACAATGAAAGCACACAACCTAAGGTGGCAGAGGCGCCGGAGGTTCCCTTATAGGGACCCCTTTCATTCACTGTTGCAGGTCCCTTCTTTGCTAAGTTTCCGGATTGTTCCATGGAGAACAGAGATATTCAGGCGCTGGGAATTGGGTGACCAAGGAGGGACGGCATTTGAAGTTGAACAGAAAAAGGTACTGTAGCCACTGTAGCCCATATGGGCCATATGGGTATGGTAGGAAAGAAAAGCAGCAAGAGAAAACTAAAGAAAGACTCCAAGCCACCTCTTGGAACCCAGAAGCCCGAAGTTTGCTAGCTATTCCTAAAGCCACGCGCAGGATCTCCGCGCCTGCTCGCCTGACGAATTAGTGCCCGTCGAAGAATCCTCCTCGATCGCTAGTAGGGGGGGACAAAAGAGCAACCCTGGCAACATGGCAACATGGCCAGGCTTCACTTCCTGTGTTTAGGGCTTAGGGCTTAGGGCTTAGAGCTTCGGGCTTAGGGCTTAGGGCTTCGGGCTTCGGGCTTAGGGCTTAGGGCTTAGGGCTTCGGGCTTAGGGCTTCGGGCTTAGGGCTTAGAAAGCCCGAGCAAACTCAAGCCGAGGCTCTCGAAGCTTCCGCACCTTCAATTTGCGTGCCTGAGCGCCGGCGCAACTCTCGCCCCGCGTGCAACGACCGAGAACTGGCAAAACACACATCAAAACACCCTAAACCCTAAACCTTAAACCCTAAACCCTAAACCCTAAACCCTCAGGCGTTTCCGACTCAGGGCTTCTTCGTTTTTTCGACCTTCGAGTCTATCCGCTGAGAGGGGGGCGCTAGATCGATGCTTCTCCGTGACATACTTCGCCAGAGTGGCCACCCGATGCCTCGCCTCCGTGGCAGCTCTCATTTTTCAAGGAACTTAGGATTTAGGGTTCAGGGTTGAGGGTTGAGGGTTTTGGGTTTAGGGTTTAGGGTTTAGGGAAACAAACAAAACCATGAACGTGACAGCACGAAGAAGATCAAGCAGGTGTTTGTGGCACAAAGAGGCGGTGAGTCCGCCGAGGCCGGAGGCCTGAAATTTTCAGATCCAGGTCTCGGGAACCTTGGACAGCTCTCTTTTGCAGGGCGCCGCAGCGGACGTGGCCTGCCTTTACCCCCAACCTCCTTTGCCCACATGCCGCCCCTCACCCCCTTGCGTCGCATTCTTATGAACACCCTAAACCCTCACCGCCCTCCTAACCCACCCACCTCCCTACCCCATCCATCATCACCCTACCCCCAACCCCCCTTACCCCTCGTGAACCCTTAGTTCGCCTTGGTATACCCGTCCCGAGGCGGCTTCGCGCTAGCGGTTACATTAAGGTGCAAGTGCGTTGTGTGCCCTAGCCGCGGTATCCACATGACAAAGCTCCAACGTGCGAGAACGAGAAACAATTGATTGTCTCATGCCGATGCCTCATGGGGCAGCGATAGGGCCTTTCTGCGCACCAGTTGCTGATAGCCTGAGAGCAAGGTAGGCTTGGAAGCTTCGCCGCCAAACCTGTGCATATGCCGGCACTGAGGCGCAGCCTCTGAGAAATAGTCACCCCGCGTCGAACGCCAATTCCACGTTCCGCGTGGGGCTCACGTGCTACATGGGCTCTGAACTAAAGTGCCCGTTGAGCGTTTTGAAATCAAGGAGACCCGATTTGAAACGAACCCCCACATGCAAAGCATGCAAACCTTATGTCGAAGTCCCATTCTTCGCACTTCGCACATGCTCTCTGCCAAGCCGCGCGGTCCCATCCCAGAACCTAACCGGCGCTTCTTTGGCGGCGGTGGCATCGCACCACACTCTTCCTAGGCAGCAAAGATCACTTCCGGACATCGGCTCAAGACAAGCAATGTCCGACACAGAAGGCGAAATGGTGGTGGGGTCTGTTGTCTTTGGGCATCCACTTCCGCCAAACTGACCTGAAGAGACTGGGATTGAGAGCTTTGGATCAAGGAGAAGACAACCCCATTGCAAATGTTATCGTATGCCGACCGACTAGGCCGTCGACACCTCGACCTCGCCCATACTTCATTACAACGACAGTTATCTAGATTACGACTTTTCTTTGGGCGTTCCCGTTAAAACGCGAGGCTGCGAGGCCCTATATTTGGGCACCCAAAGAAAAATTCAAAAACCAAAAATAAAACACACACACACACACACACACAGAGCTGAGAGTCTTAGAGGACAGCCCACACGGGGGTTTACGAAATGAGGGGTACCTTATTTGGGTCTATATCATAAGGGAATCATAATATTTGGGGGCCTATACGAGGGGTCCCCGATTTTTCATAAATCCCCACATGGCCCGCATGGAAAAGCAAAGCAAAGCCAAGCACGACTGGCATGCCGGGCCGCCGGATGCTGCATGATGCAGTCCGCCAGGTCCCTGAAACACCGGGCCAAGATTCCAACAACAGGGGTCTTTGGGTTTAGGGTTTGTAGGGTTTAGGGTTTGGGGTTTAGGGTTTGGGGTTCGGGGTTTGGGGTTAAGGGTTCAGGGATTGGGGAAGCAAGATCTGTAAAAATGTCCAGATAACATCTACCCAGGATGCTGAATGTGCTTATGACATGAGCACGGAACCAACGTCACTTGGCTTGCATTTGGTTTGAGCGTTGCTTCGTTAGCACGAAGACTTCAACGAGCATGAGTTGCATTCAGTGTTGGAAACTCCCCGAACCGGAAAGACCCAATCTTGATTTGCTTCGCCTCCTGCGAAAGCATGGTTGAGCATTAAAGAACAAAACCTCAAGAATTCCAGTAACGTCCTCACCAGAGGCGAATATTACTTCCTAGTTGGCTTATACTTACGGCTACGGAAACCAGAACGAAAACTCCCAGGAATTTGTACCATCCAACCGCGACGTCTGTCCTGAACCAGGCTTCTGCAGCTACTAAAATTACTACAAAAGCTACAGCGACGATGCAGAAAGCTGGCATCCGTCTCTACTCATCAAAAACTTGGCATTGGGTTGTGATAAGCCATATTTCCAGCACATGAACTTGCAGTAGCACTCCAAAACCCCCCACTACACTTCCCCTCGCACCTGTGCTCACAGAACATGCCCGACATCTCCGCGAACTCGGAGGGCGCTGCTCTCTGCATGCTCTGCGGTGTAAAGTAGCGTGTAACACCATGCACATGTTACCAAACAGCAATTTACAGATGATGCCCTTGGAAGATGCATTTTGGGCGATTTCGGTGTTTGCCGGCATCCCCTCTCCGTTTCGTGGCTGAGCGACATAGTTGGCAGCATTGTCGGCCAACCTCGCGTGCAATCTTGGCATGACATGGTCATCTCATGTCTCCTGCCTCGGAACCTGATCAAAACCCCTAGTAGCAGACCACAATCCAGCCACCATCGCCTGGATCGATGCTGATGGTGCTATTATTTTTCATGACCTCTGTCTCGCAGAGTCTGACTCTGCAATGAGTCCTAAGTACTACGTCACCATGCGATGGTTTGGCTAGTCACGTGGTGCGAGAAGTCTTGGAGTGCTCCAGTGCATTCAAGGTGCCCCGTGGGCGTGGAGTAGTCCATGCCCTCCATTCGATCCTCGTCTTGGGCACGGACCATGCGCATTCCTAACTCCCATTAGCACTGGAACTGTAATCTCTCATATTTTTCAGCAGTACAGTTCATTGCATTATACTGTGTTCTCTCCCGTTCTAGCCGTATTATCTTGTCATGGAGTAGATGCGATCATGTAATATATGAATACATTATATAGTTTTCAATATTAAATCTGAATTACATAAGGGATGATTACATTTATTATACAAGCGAATATTATACATACATATATATATATAATAAACTACATCAGATACTATATCTTTATACAACATATATATATATATATATTCTGTAAAAAAAACATATTATGTGTTATAAGACATATAATACAAAATGTCACATATTATGCTATACCAAATATTCCACAAAAACCTATATCGCATGTTGTAAAAACACATTATACCACATATTGTATATCATATTAACATATTAACATATGATGTGTTGAATTAACATTATATTCATGCATTACCAATACATATTACAACATGCATGTAGCACATACACACATATACTACATCATATCATGTATACATACATACATGCATACATACATACATATACATATACATATACATATACATATACATATACATATACATATACATATACATATACATATACATATACATATACATATACATATACATATATATATATATATATATATACATATGTGTGTGTGACCGTTTGAAGTCATGTGGTAGATCGAAAACAGGGCCGGAGCGGCGTGGAGATCACCAACTTTGGGGCCCAAGTCCATGAGGTTCGGGCACATCATCAGGCACTTCGCCTCGCTGACGCGGCTGGGGGGGGTTTACGGAATCCTCAGGGGGTTTAGGGGTTTTTTGGGGGGGGTTTGAGGGTTTCGAGTTTAGGGTTTCGGGTTTTGGGGCTTTTAGGGTTTTGGGGCTTTTAGGGTTTTAGTCGGGCTTAGGGTTTTCGGGTTTTGGGGTTTGGGGGTTTCGGGTGCCTATCTGGGTAGCCGGGTAGCTCTCTAAACTAGGGTTCCCCTGTCTACAGTACGGCACCCTTTGAAAAAAAGGACCCCAAGAGGAGCCCAAATTTGAGAACTGCCCATGTGTAATTATGCCTCCGGTAGCGGGCTGAGCTCTGATGGGAAATGAAAACGGCTATGGGAGTCGTCGAATGTCGCCGAATGTCACCGAGACACTGAAATCATGCCATTGATGAAATTGGTCTCATTGCCCTTTCCATCTGTGTGGTTCGTGTGGTTCGTGTGGTTCGTGTGGTCGTGCAGCCGCCGTTGCAGCGTCTGGCGCCATGGAGCTCCAGTTACGCCTCCGCAAAGACAGGGGCTTGTTGTTTGCAAGCTTGGTGGAAACACCTCGGGCCGTGGGGGCTCGTCAGGGCGTTACAATGCAGAACTCGAAGTCCCCTGCCTGCCAGAAGGCAGGCACCCACAAGCCACAGCCACTTCATCACTGGAGGGGCGACGTTGAAATTGAAAACAGCTGCGATTACATCGTGCTCTGAACTCAAGCAGTCAGGGCATGGTCATGTGTGGTCAGAAGAGTGATGCAGGTAGCTGTACAGCGGGAGGAGTGGGGCTCTTCAGCTTCGTAGGCATCTGACCTTTTCACGACTGGCACTCAGGAGTACAGCCCAGGTTGTCTTTCCATCACCTGCCGCTGGACCTGATGGACAGAAGCCGCCTCTACCGCAGAAAATTTGGCACGAAGTAGTCGGCATCCCACCGCTGTACGTACAAGGCGCGGACGTCGTCATAGTGACGCTTCTCGCTGGGCATGTCATCGAAGCGACAGGTGGGGCAGGAGTTGCTCTTCTTGACCTTGGCACACGACGTCGCTCGAACTATCCGACCACGTTCTTCCTCTTAGCTTCAGATACGAGTACTTTGCTGCCCGCACCCACGCAACAGGCGCAAGACTCACTCGAGGATGTGACAATGACTAGGGCCTAGGGACGACAATATATTTATAGCATGTATATGTATATATATATATATACTTATTTATTCATTTGTGTAATTCATATTTTAATTCATATACGAACGAGTTGATTCTGACGGAAAGGGCCACATGCATGAACTCTAGACAGACCTTGGCTCTGCTTGTTGTGTTGTGAAATTGCTTGTGTGCACGTGCCTGCCAGATACCATGAATGGCAGTCACGAAAACATCTACGCCAGAAATCGCAAGAACATGCCTCAGACTAGGGTCTAGAGAGCTGACTGGATGCCCACCTTCACTCCCGAATGCAAAGGAAAGCAATGCGGCGTGTCTTTTACGGATGAGAAACGACCACCCACATGACACAGCCTGCTGCATGACCTGAACTTGCATTGCACGACTGACACGTGAAGCACAACGAAAATTCCTCCTCCCAGCATCCGTGCTCGGAAGCATTGCGCCTCTCACTGCTGCCTACGTCTGCCCTTGCTTGTTGGCCCTTTGATTGAATCGAACGTGTTTCCATGCGAGAGTTGCACGACCGCAGTCGGGGGATGTTTGATGTCCTGAACTATGTGAATGACACGCGGAGCTCCGAGAAGGTGATTCGAGTGATGAGGACAGTGGGGATCCGCCAGGCACACCAAGAGGGTTGCCACTTTGGAAATCAATACACGGAATGAGCTGAACGTCATTCTTCTCTACAGGCTGCCACGTGTGGCCTTCTCAAGCACTAGTTCGTTCTGTGTTGGCGCGCAAGCTCGACGAGATCTGCAAGATCTGCAAACCCAAGGAAGATTCGGCCAATCGCCAGGATCTTTTGGCGGAAGCATCGGCTCGGCTCACTGTGAAGAACGTTGTGCTTAATATCATTTGTGATGCTACGATGATACAATAAAGCAACAAATATGTATACACTTATATCTACACACATTATATGCTTGGTAGATCTACATATACATACATACATACATACATACATACATACATACATACATACATACATACATACATACATGCATACTACAAACAATATCCATATATACTAAATAACAAACTTCTAAGGATGGGGCCCATGAGAGGAGGCAGTCGTCGTGAAAAAGGTGCCCACAAGGCATGGCTTTGGCCTTGGAACCTGCCACCAAGGTTCAGGGCTTCGGGCTTTAAGGTTTAGGGCCGTTTAGGGTTTAGGGTATAGGGTTTAGGGTTTGGGGCTTTGGGTTTTGGCTCGTGGGTTTTGGGTTTTGGCTTTTGGGGCTGCAGGGTTTCAGGGGCTGTAGGGTTTCAGGGCCTTGAGGCATTTCGGGTCTGGCCCGACAGGGGCGCCTGCAGGCATTGCCTCCTGGCAGACCACGCAGACGTCCTGCCGGCAGTAGGAACTCAAGCTGCTGCTGCCACTTGACAAAGCTGAGCTGGGCCATTTCCCGGGGAAAACGAAAAAAGAGAGAGAGCGAGTGTATGAGCAAACGTCAGAGAGCAATTGCGAAAGAGAGAGGGCATGGATAAAGAGAGAGAGAGGGAGATATATATATATATACATATATATATACATATATATATACATATATATATATACACATACATGTATATATATATATATAGATCTAGATTGGGAGATCAGAGAGAGAGAGAGAGATAGAGAGATAGAGAGATAGAGAGATAGAGAGATAGAGAGATAGAGAGATAGAGAGATAGAGAGATAGAGAGATAGAGAGATAGAGAGATAGAGAGATAAAGAGATAGAGAGATAGAGAGATAGAGAGATAGAGAGATAGAGAGATAGAGAGATAGAGAGATAGAGAGATAGAGAGATAGAGAGATAGAGAGATAGAGAGATGGAGAGATAGAGAGATCAGAGAGATAGAGAGATAGAGAGATAGAGAGATCAGAGAGATAGAGAGATCAGAGAGATAGAGAGATCAGAGAGATAGAGAGATGAGAGAGATAGAGAGATCAGAGAGATAGAGAGATCAGAGAGATAGAGAGATCAGAGAGATAGAGAGATCAGAGAGATAGAGAGATCAGAGAGATAGAGAGATCAGAGAGATAGAGAGATCAGAGAGATAGAGAGATAGAGAGATAGAGAGATAGAGAGATAGAGAGATAGAGAGATAGAGAGATAGAGAGATAGAGAGATAGAGAGAGATAGAGAGAGATAGAGAGAGATAGAGAGAGATAGAGAGAGATAGAGAGATAGAGAGATAGAGAGAGATAGAGAGATAGAGAGAGATAGAGAGATAGAGAGAGATAGAGAGATAGAGAGATAGAGAGATAGAGAGATAGAGAGATAGAGAGATAGAGAGATAGAGAGATAGAGAGATAGAGAGATAGAGAGATAGAGAGATAGAGAGATAGAGAGATAGAGAGATAGAGAGATAGAGAGCTAGAGAGCTAGAGAGCTAGAGAGCTAGAGAGCTAGAGAGCTAGAGAGCTAGAGAGATAGAGAGAGATAGAGAGATAGGAGATTAGAGAGATAGAGAGATAGAGAGATTAGAGAGAATAGAGAGATAGAGAGATAGAGAGATAGCGAGATAGAGAGATAGAGAGATAGAGAGATAGAGAGATAGAGCGGATAGAGAGATAGAGAGTAGAGAGATAAGAGAGATTAGAGAGATAGAGACGATGAGAGATTAGAGGAGATAGAGAGATAGAGAGGATAGAGAGATAGAGAGATAGAGAGATGAGAGATAGAGAGATAGAGCAGATTAGAGAGAAGAGAGATAGAGAGATACGCGAGATAGAGAGATAGAGAGATAGAGAGATAGAGAGATAGAGAGATAGAGAGATAGAGAGATAGAGAGATAGAGAGATAGAGAGATAGAGAGATAGAGAGATAGAGAGATAGAGAGATAGAGAGGTTTGTATATACATACATACATATGTACATACATACATATATATATATATACAGATATATGTGTATGTCTATATATATATACATATATGTATGTACATTGATAAAAGCGGAGCATATACATATATACATAAAAACATATATACATATATACATATATACATATATACATATATACATATATACATATATACATATACATATATACATATACATATATACATATACATACATATATACATATATACATATATACATATATACATATATACATATATACATATATACATATATACATATATACATATATACATATATACATATATACATATATACATGTATACATGTATACATGTATACATATATACATATATACATATATACATATATACATATATACATATATACATATATACATATATACATATATACATATATACATATATACATATATATATATATACATACATATGTATATATAATTCTCTATTTGCATATGTATCTGTACATATGAAATTTCACAACACATATGAGGACGGAAAGAGCATGGGCAGCCTCCTCCAGAACCGTCTTCACACGGAGCTCCGCCCGAGCATCCCGGGACATCCCAGGACGCCTGTCATCCTGCCCAGCTTCTGAAAGCCGGATCTTTCACAGAATCTGAGCTCCCAAAAAACTCTTCTGAGCTTTCTAAACCTCAAAGCGGCGACATCCCACACTAACAACCCTGAACGCAGTAGATACTTTGAAGCATTCATATGTGGTAGTTGGTGGCATCTTGTCCCCATAGTAACCACTGGGTAGGTTCCCTTTTTTAGTCAGGGTTCGCTTCTCTAAGGGACCTTTAGCCCCTCGCCCATCCCTTGAAGGACCGGTGATTACAGCAACCCAGATGGGTCTTTCTGATTCCGGAAGACCCCCGAAAAGAAACCACCCCCCTCCTCCACCGAGAGCTTGTCTTGCTTGTTTTACCACTCCCACATTTGGGGCATTTGGGGTGCCTGGTCTACACATGAGCCTGCGGGTTACAACAGGCTTCACACCCACGATCGCAATTTGGGTTGTCTAGCTGTTGGGCAGACCCCCACCCGCTCCCCCCCCCACCCCCGCACCCCCCAACCTCCACCCTGCCCACCCCCCACTTTCACCATCCCGCCTTATGCACGCCGGCTTGTTGCTCTTGTTTTACTACTCACCTTTGGGGTTACTCACCAAACCCTGTTTCATATCTCGATTTGCCTCCTCCACCAGGACTAAGCCCTGCGAGGCGAGGAGCTCCCCAAGCGACAGCGGCGTCGCCGCATCCCCTGAAAAGGGACAACTCCAGGCTTATAATACTGTCAATGATTTCAAGAGAATGTTTAAGCTGGTACCAACCATATGAATGCGGTGAGCACACCATGAATCATGACATTGTGACGATGCGAAGTTCAAACAACTAAGAGGGCACCCTTGAACCTTCACGCGGGGTGACCCCTTCAAGTGGGGCGTAGGGGGAGCCTTTGGGGCCTTTGAGGCTCTGTGGTGCCCGAGGCTCTTGCCGAATTGGCCCTTGTTGTGCATCTTATCCTCCTGGAGGCGGCGGAGACGGGCCTAGGTCGGCTGGGCTTCGGCGTTTCTGCGCGTCAGACGAATGCGGAAGCTCCGGCACGGGCCTGTTCCTTTGCCCGCTCTCGCGCTTCTTCGTCGACTTCCTCAGTGGCATAGGGCTCAAAGGTAGCAGAGCAAACTCCTGATCCCACCTCCAGTGCTGCATCCCTCCACTTGCCAGCGTCTGTGATGGCAGGCACATGGAACTCGAGGGCAAGGAAAAGATCAAGCCCAGCTTGCCAGAACCTCCACAAAAACGCTTCGCATCTGCTCCAGCAACACGGCAGCCCCCCCCCCCCCCCAAACAGCTAAAAAGAGAGAAGGGATCTTCAGAGAACCCAGCTTGAGTCGCAGGCTTTGGGTTCGAAAAGCGAGTCTGCAGCGCCGTGAACACGGCTTTGGCAGCCTGGTGCAATCTCGTGGGAGCCTCTGGGGCTTCGGGGGCCTTCCAAGAAGCACCCTTTCAGGGCCTCCTGCAGAGCCTGTACACTGGGCTGGGACGAGTCCTGCACATGGGCAACTGAAAAGTCGTCATCAAGTAACGACCTCTTGAAACATCCCACCTTGTATCCCTTGTGCACCTCTTTTCTTGCTCATTCATGCTCATGCCAACTTGCATCCGTTTGACAACTCGCAATCAAGGCATCAGGATTCGCATTCAACCAACTGACCCAACTAGGACATACGTGAACCTGCAATCTCGACCTCGGTCCTGGCTCCACTGCTCTGAGATTTGTGTCAGCTGCGCGCAGGCCTGCGACGTCCGCGCTTTCAACGGTTGCTCTCAGCCGTGGGATGGCATGTGGGCGCACATTGACGAAGGACTTCTTCGTCTTCAGCTCCTGCCGCGCAGCAGAAGATCAGCTTGCGTTTGCCGGGTGCGGGCCAGAAGCACCGCAGAACTCGCATCCGCTTCTGAGTTGAGGTGCCTGCTTGAGCTTCGAGATCTGCGAAACCAGATCCTGAAGTGCAGGGCGAATATGGGGGCGAATCTCACAGATTGTCCACAGATTGTCATGGCAGTCCTCCTCAGACACTACCATCTCGATGCCAAAAGTGTCTACACAGGTGGGTGCTGTCTTGAATCTAGGATCCAGATTAGGAAGGTGCTTCGATTCACATGCTGGAACACACACTGGGGCACATCAATCCCTGAGCAGCTTGGCCATTTGGAGCCACAGAATGGGAGGCGCTTACAAGTCAACTGCGCCACAATGTCCTTGAAAACGAACTCAGCGATACCCCCACCTTACTTTTCGGAGAACCCACATGTGAAAAGCTGCAAGGATATGGCGGTTTCCGAAATTGCAAGGGGGGGGGGGTACCTTGGGGTCCTTACCCTAAGGGAATCCTAAAATTTGGGGGATCTATTTTGGGGCTCCCCTATTTTCGTAAACCCCTCCAACCCTAAACCCTAAACCCTAAACCCCTCTGCTCGGCGTGCGCACGTTTCTTTTGCTGCGCATCTGGAGAATCGCCTCTCCCGGAGCGGTCTCCCATCTCTGCACAGGTTGTACTTGAAGGTTCGTGGTACTTAATAGGGCCTTACAAGCGGGATACAAGTACAGTTACAATCGGTTAATAAGTTCATGGTACTTTTTAAGGGCTTATAAGTGGGTTAGAAGTACAGTGATAGTTGGGTTACTACGTACCCTGAACCTCCAAGCAATGGCTCAACCATAGCAGGTTCGGGAAGGCCTTCCTGGATTTTGCCGGGGGGGGCCACAACATCAGGGACAACGGGCCCACTCAAGTCTGCTTGAAGTGCAAGATCATAGCGCTCAAAGGCTCGCATCCCGGAACCTGGGCCAACGGGCCACCGGAATTCTGCTCAAACGACGAAGGCTGTTCAGGTGTTTGCCGCGGCCCTGGCCTACTGCTTGATGTTTAGCATCGGATGCGTACACAGACACTCCGCTGCCAAATGTTTCTTGCGGGAGTTCCTGGCGGCCTCAACTTCTGAGATTTTTGGGAGGTTCCTGCTCTTTGAACTCTTACGTTGACTCAACAATCGTAACCCGAGATGACCCTACCAAACCTTAGCCGGAGTCTCTCTGCACAGCACAGCTTGAAAGAGCATGTGCAAAGGAAATGACAAATAGGCTGGGATCCTCCTAGCCAAGAAAACGGCTTAGGGCGTTGGTCCAACTTTGGGACGGGCAAGCTGTTGGCAGCCGGCCTCCTCGTAAAGCATGTTCAGCCTCAGCAGCCAGTTGGCTTCACACACTTGGGGGAGTGCCCCTGAGCTGGATTGAAGCCCGGAAGGCTTTTGTATCAGATCACAGTCCACCTTTGCAACCAGGCCACTCATCCCGGATCCCGTTGTAGCTTTTATGTCCACAGACAACTGCATCCATCAAGGCCTTCGTCGAACAATGATCTGGAAACGATCTGCAATCACCCCTGGACTGCTAACTGTGCACATCATTGGGACGAACCGTTGGCCTGCGCCTTCGACACTGCCACACATCCCTCACTGATGCTCCTCGCGTACACACTTGAAAGCGCAGCAAACGCAAGCAGAGCACGCTTGCCTGAGTTGGAGTGCCGGTGCAGACAAGCTACGGTCCTGCTAGCCACATTTGTTTATCGTGTCGCTGTTGGGTGAAACTGGTACTCACCACTGATGCAACAACTATGGGCATGCGCATCCATCAATCCGACCCCCTTCAAGCTTGAGATGCCCTTGCGCACAGACAATACTCCGGAAAAGTAAGTCGCGAAATCCATTCGGATCTCGAAATTCCGGATATGAAGACTGGCCGCTATTTCAGCGCCTTTCGGTTGTCTGAACGAAGCAGGTGCCTTTCAAGCAACCCGCCAAACTATCCTGCGCCGTGCATGTGAGCCCAGGAGACACTCCAGCCAAAGCACTCATTCATGACCCCGTCAACCTAGCATGCCATGCGCTCGCCACATGAAATGGGTGATGGGTTTCTACTAACACGCGAAAGACTTTCCAAGAACAAAGGCGTCGATTCCGACGCAGGCATAGCAGGAAACAAGCGAGCAGAAACCATGCAAGGCACAGGGAAAACCACCAATATGACAAGACTGGCAACAAAAAAGTGACAATGTAGTGCTTGGTTTGGTGGAGAATCCTCCTTGTGTAGTATTCAACTGTCGGAAAAACCAATGCCATGCCGAAAAAGGTGGGACGACCTGTTCACACGCTTGGTGGAAGAAAGCGTTTGCAACACTGCTTAAAGCTTGACAAACCTATATCGATCTGAAAGCAGTGCCTGGTGGCAGGTGACTTCTATTCAAACATATTCATTCGACGTGCAACAATGTTCGGTGGGCATGACCTCTACGAGTCACAAGAAACACTCAACAGATAAGAAATATTTGGAGTCATATTGCAACACACGCCTGCTTCTTGGGACTAATGCAGTGAGAGAACAGTATACTCTGCCTGGTACCGATGGGCATCTCAGAGGGGGGGGTGGGGGGGGCGGGCAACCTTACCCCTCGGCGGGCACGTCAATTCGTTACGTACAATCCCCCAAGCTGTTATGTGCATCAACGCGTTTTTGCTGTCCAAGGCAAGGTACCAAGTGTCTACTCGTCAATATTGATGGGCTCACATGCTCTGGTCATTATCATGCGGGATCACAGCTCCCGTCTGCCGTCTTTGGGCGAGGCACCGTTTTCAGCGCCTGCTTGGTATGTCCATGACACGGGCAGCCAGTCCCTCTCTTGGCGTTGCCAATGTCATGATCTGCCTTGGCACGTTAGGAAATGTAGGGTTTGGGAGCTTGGCGCCGTTGAGGGGTTTATGCTCAACGGGCGGATCTGGAGCTGCATGACTGCTGACTTCTTCTTTCTGGCCATCCATAATTTGGGGCTGAGGAGGAGGCTTCAGCTGCTCCTGTCGACCTGGCGATTTCACCTCGCACACACGCTGCGCTCGAAGGGGGCTTGGGTTGGGGAAGAAGAATGTTCGTAGAGAAGCCGAAACGCTGCTCAAACGGTGGCCTGGCGCCAAGGCAGCTTGATGGCATCAGTGATGTCTTCTGACCCCGGGACCTGGTCGACTTCACTCACATGTAAGCTCGTGCAACTCTCCCTACGAATTGTGAACAAGCAGAGAAACTGCCACAAAATACGCGCCGGCACGACGAACTTGCGAGGGTTGAGTGACTGCAGCTCCTAGCAATGAGAGATTCTGTCATATGGTGTTTCCCGACGGGGATCCCTAACTTAGACCCCCAAATATTAGGATTCCCTTCTAATATGGACCCTACAAAGGTACCCCTAATTTCGGAAACCACCATATCACATCTTCCATCGCATGTCTCGGTCTATGGCAACTACCAGCACTGTGTCCTTGTCATTTTCTGATAGCTGGATCATGAAAGTTCCAAAGCAATCTGGCCTGGGCAGATTGCCAAAAAACATCTTTCAAGCCTCCTAACTTTAAACTTCGCCGCATCATTCTGAATGCCTGCCGGCTCATAGCAAGATGCCGCTTGCTCAGCCGCCCATGGTGACTAGGGAGTGGTTTTGCGGCCCAACTCGCCCAGCCGAACACTGGATCCGAGCATCCGAGCAGCATTCCTTGCTAAGCCCTGCTCGGCCCCCCGGCATGGTGCCATTCAAATTGCCTGGTCAGCCATCTCACGCCCAGGATCTGCCTCTCCCTCCAACACATCCCGGTGAACAGGCCTTTTGCCAGGCTGCCAGGCTCCTGGTCGGGACCGAAACTTCAGCTTGGGGGCATTAGCTGCATTAGCTGCTGTCGAGGACGGTTTCCGCGTGGAGAAGTTCCGTGCCTGCCAGCGGCTCATGGCTTCGTGCGCGAGGGACATCGCCGCCTGCTGTGGATCATCCAAATTCCTGCCAGGGGCCAGTACACCCCTGCCTTCCAATCGGGGGGCCACTTTAATTGCAGCAGACTCGGAGCATGTCACACCCCTTCATGTCCCAACTCTCCCAAAAAGATTCAAGGGGGGCCTGCCTGGTCACCCAATTCACGGCCGTCGTGTCTGACACAGTCGCCCACACCCCTCCGCTCCTCGGGCTTAAGCGGTGACCCTCGGCCTTTGGGGCTCAGGAAGCTTAGTAGGTGTAGGGCTTCGAGAAGTTAGCAGGTTTAGGTTGACCCTGAGTTTGGGCAGGCGGAACCACGACAACTCCGGGGGCGCTAGCACAATGTTGCACTCACTTTGCCCTGCGCTGGGCACCACACCCGAGGAGCATGTAGCTACCTTCCGGCAGGTCCTGCTCCCAAAAAAGGGGGGAACATAAAACGTATATAACATACATAGTATAGCGCATCATAACATATGAATATATGATACCTATATATACATATATATATATATAGCAACAAAATGAGTATGTTATGGTGATTTATGGTGTGTAGTATGAAATATGCGTGTATATATGTATACACAAATATGTATGTGGAGTATACACTATACAACTTGCAAGACACAGTACGCCACATGGAAATATCATGTTTTGCACACAGCAAGTAGTGTGTAATGCATGATATACAGTATCTTGTGAACAGTACCACATATACTAAAAGCAAACGAAAATGCAAAATGTCCAGTGTTTACCATACAATTCCTAAGCCAAATATCGGTTGCCGAAAGAACGTGATTATCAACACAGAATATGAAATACGTGCTGCACAAGGTTGTCTTTTATCTATAATCTGCAATATGTCAAATGGATGAAACATCGAATAGAACATGTACAAACGGACATTACACTCTGTACAGATCTATACAATGCATCTAGTATCTAAAACATACTATAAAAGATCAATAATAGCGAATATTTACGAACATACGAACTACAGTATGAATGAGATGCACGGATGGCTAGCTCACAGCACAGAAGGCATGCTGTCCAGGCTGCAACGGTCTCCAGCTGCCAATTGCACAGGAAACGTTTGCCCACGAACAATATATGTATGTACTACTACATGACAAAAGGTGCATGTTATGATGTTATGTATTAGTTGTTCTAGGTGATGTGATGAGATATGAGATGTGGTGTTTGATATGCTTTGTATACACATATTCATGGCATGTTAAAAAAAGCAACATGTACTATCGATCGCATTTAAACTGTACATTGAATGTTCGTTGTTGTATGTTGTGTATTATGTCTTCAATGTTATTCACTATATGGCATTTACACATTACAAATCATATGTTCGAAAGCATGCGTTATACACTCCACATTTTCAAACAGACTTTACTTAATGTATACTGCATTTTGGATTGTAGGGTATACGCTTTCGAAAAAGTTCAGTACTACATGCAACACATTGTAAATCTTATAGTGCTTGCGTTTTCTTCCACGTTGTATATCGTATATCTTCATGAAAAATAGCCCGTCCTTGCGCACGAGCTTGCAGATGCTAGGCTTGTGGCTGACCCCGACCTTGGAGGGGTGCTAACACCAGTCACTACAAGCCACACACACTGCTGTTTGCTACGGCTCTCGGGTAACCGCGTGGTGTCCCAGTCATGCGGTCAGCCCTCTGAATTCTGGTGAAGATGAAGGTTCCCTGGTAGTAAGGGTAGTTCATAACCTTGAGAAGCCTGGTATCAGGGTATCCTCATCATCCTGAGAACCGATGTCGAGGTCAAACCGTGGCGCCGCGCTGTGTGTCCCAGCCGATGCCCCAGGCCGCGGGTCAGAGCGAGACCTCGGCAGGGCTACAGCTTGCGGCGCTTCGGGTTCTAAGGGTTCTAAGGGTTCTAAGGGTTCTAAGGGTTCTAAGGGTTCTAAGGGTTCTAAGGGTTCTAAGGGTTCTAAGGGTTCTAAGGGTTCTAAGGGTTCTAAGGGTTCTAAGGGTTCTAAGGGTTCTAAGGGTTCTAAGGGTTCTAAGGGTTCTAAGGGTTAGGGTTCTCTAAGGGTTGAGGGTTAAGGGTTTAGGGTTCCAAGGGTTAAGGGTGAAGGGTTTAGGGCTCTAAGGGCTCTACGGGTTAAGGGTTTAGGGTTCTAAGGGGGTTTAGGGTTCTAAGGGTTTAGGGTTTAAGGTGTCCCTGCTATCACGACGGCATGCGGGCGCCCAGCTGGGATAGCTCGACTCACCCACAAAGAGGCGGCAGACCTTGTCATGGACCTGGAAGGTCAGAGCGGGCTCATACTGCAAGCCCCTCTTCCTGGACATGTTTGGCGTTTGGCTCCCTGCAGCCGGCATACGAGTACCATGCAATAAACTCATGCATATCATGTACGCACAACCTAAAAACAATTATAACAAACACTTTCTACTATCTTATATGAAATATAACTCACCAACAATTTCAACTCTTCCCCCCCCCCCAAAAAAAATATGGCAGCCAAAGCCACGAGCTTCCGAACCTCGGCTCCGGCATCCTGCCAGGCCCCTCTCCCCCGCATCGTTTTTTGAGTCGCGGCGGCATTCTCTTGTCGGGCAAAGGGGGGTCCGGGGTTTGTAGGGGTTTGTAGGGTTTTTAGGGCTTGTAGGGTCTTAGGGTTTGTAGGGGTTTGGCAGGGTTTGCAGGGTTTGGAGGGTTTGTAGGGTTTGTAGGGTTTGTAGGGGTTGTAGGGGTTGTAGGGGTTGCAGGGTTTAGGAAGCTTCTCAATTCGCCGCGCTCAGGGGGTGCAAGACGGCTTGGCTGAGGATTCTGTTTAGGGTTGGGGGGGCGGGGGGTAGGGGTCGGGAAGTGGGCCAAGCGGCGCAATTATTTGGTTGGGTTGGCTCTACCCGGCCTGTACAAACATGAGTTGGCTCTTGTTTGTTTTCTTGTCGTTGGGGGGGGGGGTTGAGAAACAGCGCCGCAATTTGAAAAGTGTCCCTAAACCCTGAACCCTCAGTTACAACGAGTTTCTTGGAGGTCTTGCTTGCGAAGTGTGAAGGGGGGAGCAGCTGAAACATGCTTGGGTTGACTTGGCTTTGGCGGGGCTTTGGGCGGAGGCAAACATGCTGTTAGCCTTGGCCAATTGGGGGTTCAAGTTGTTTAAGGCTTATAAGGTTTAGATTTAAGCTTTAGGCACTCCCAAGCCTGCCTTCGCTCGATCAAACTCCTTCTTGACACAAAGCTTGTGATCCTCCAGGAGGGGTTCCACAAGCTAAGCAATAGCACGCAGTCAGCCAGAAACTAAGCTTGAAACTCAGCAAGGCAGCAATGCGAAAGGCAAGAGCTCCTCTGTCAGGCGCTGAGGGAGCATGTGGAACTCGCGCGCGTTGCCGCTGGTGTCGGGCACCTCATCCCATGTCACCGGCACGTGAGGGCGATGCGCAACTTGCAAAGAATGCCGAGGCCGAGGTCTTCACTGCGAGAACACAGCGGCAGTCGCCCACATGGGCGATCCAGACGTGCCTCGAACGGAAGACTGCACATCCCAACAACTTCATGCAGCACAGCACCGAGAGGATCCTCTCCGTGAACACTCCTCACCTCCTCAGCTCTCCTTGCCAAGCTGGGCTGGGTCCCTAGGGCAGATGCTCTGTGTTCAGCAGAACGACGGTCACCGAAGCTCCTGGCGGCGACGCACGGCCCCACTCTGAACGCAGCCACACCGCTTTCATTTGTTTCTCAAGATCGAAGGCTTCTTCGTGTTGGTGTTAGGGCGACTACTCTGTGGAAACGCATCGTGCAAATCGTAAGGCCAACGTCTCCTGTGAGCGTCACGTCCAGCTGCATTGCAGCAGAGGTGTGAACCTACCAGACATCACATGGCAGCTGGGCATCGCCTTCTGAAACCACGTAAGAAGCTCAGCTATTCTAAACTTCGGCTACCTTTTCCCCCGACCTTCGCGAAGGCGTCGGTCAGCCCCTTTGCCTCGGTTTCCGGCTGTGCTTCGAGTTGTGATGGCCATGGCCGTGCTACGCGTGACTCCAAGAAGCCCCCCTTTTCTGAGGCCCCCGGCCACATCGGGGAAGCTGTTGACGAAGGCAGGGCTCCGGAAGATGGCTTTGGGCCTACGACACGAAGGTCACAGAAGCCCTCATGGCACCAAAACTTGCGCAGAGCTTTCGAAAAGCAACTTCAACAAGCCCGGCGGCGCACATCTCTTGGGCCACGTACATGGTCAGGGCGCCAGACACCCTGCTTCAGATGGGGATAGGCCGCGTATCAAGGGGGATCTGCTTGACGAATTCTGAGGGCACTGCTTTGGGCTGCCCTGGCCATTCACGAGACCAATGAGGCACCAATCGCCACAGCCTTCAAGCAAACCAGAGCACAAGAAGAGATCCAACTAAACTCGAACAGATGCACAGAGGCCCCCGACGGGACACGAAGCCGCGTTCGGCGATGAGGTCTGCAGCTGCCGCCTGTCAGAAACTGCCCCCAAGGCCACTAGCGATCATCGGATGATGGGGCAGAGTTCCTCATGCACGCGCTGAAAAGGGACCATGTGTTTCTGAAAGGAATGTGTGACCCTCCCTCTTTGCCTGGCCTGGCCGAGAGCACCGGAGACCTGGAGACAATCAACAGAAACAGACATCACACAAGCGAGAAGACAAGTGAGAAAACGATGCGACGAGACCCTCGCAGACCTGGCAGTCGTAACAACCGTGGCAGACATGGCAGTAGCACAGGATTCTTTGCAGCAATGGATTGCTGCCCCTTGAAGGTCTGTCTGAACCTGTCCAAAAACACCCCAGGCCGCGGCCGCAGTCACAGTTCTGCACACTGTACAATATCTACTATATAATGTGACCGGCGAAACACGCTCTCACCAACGAGAGGACCTTCCGCAGTGCAAGGGGTGCACCATAAAATCAACAGGATGCGTGAGTTCGGCACGTCTTTACAGGTCAGAGTCAGAGAAGCTCTCATCACACAACTTGTGTGTCCTCGCCACTCGATGCTTCAACGATGCCATCTTCACATTGGAGTTCCCCCTGACCTGAGTAGCCCTTGCTCGGACAGCTCTCCTGATCTTGAAGAGCGCCCTCTGCTTCCGTGCCCTTGCAACCTCGTTTGCTCGTGCCCTCTTGGCCCCTGCCAGTTCGGCACCTCTCCTGGCTGCTTCCCCGCGGTCATCCTTCGCCGCAAGGGTGCCTCGAATGTCGCAGTTGTTCCGGCACCGTTTTGCTGCAGGTTGGCGTGCTTGAGCCCGACAGGCAGTGATGTAAAGCGAGTTGTCCTGGACATGAGTCTTCAGCTTCTGCAAGCTGGCGACAAGCTGCTCTTTTGTGACGGACATGTCGTATGAATTCACCGTCGCCGAGAGGGCCCCTGTCTTCTGCACGTCCAGCCGGAACGAGAAGCTGCAATGCTCGAGCTGCTCATCCAGCATCCTCCGGAGCTCTTCCTGGAAGCTCCGAATGGTCGCACCCCTTCGTCCGATGAATGCACCGATGGCGCGTCCATTTGGCAAAGCTCCCAGCAAGGCAGAAGCCCTCGGCAGAGCAGGAAGGCCCTCGGGAAGGCCACCGTCAATCCGAAGGTCATACTGGACCTTGTTGTAGACCACACTGCGTGGGATGCAAGTCTTCAGGTGGTCCAGGGCGGCTTGAAGCTTCTCCTCCCCGAACGACGTCGGGGCTGCCTGCAGTGTGGCAGCCAAGCTGCATTTCCGAACATCCAGCCAGAAGCGAAAGCGACCAGCATCCAGCTCCTTGCACAGGTGGTTGTGCAGGGCCTTCCTGAGCTGCTGAATGTTCTGGCCACCCTTGCCGATGAGTGCAGCCTCAGCGACACGGCACGGCAGCCAAGCCAGCACGATCGACAAGACTCTGGGTTCGGGTCGCTGCTTCGGTGCCAGCACGGCGCACCCAGCTGGATTTACATCGACCTTCTCTGCAACCTCCGCAGCCTCTGCAGTCTCCTCAGCGAAGGGATGTGCGGCAAGGCTCGGGCCAGCCAAGAGCTCGCTCGCCTCAGTGGCATCTCGGATGACCCGCACCCTGGCACAGAGCGGATTGTCAAGCGCCTTGATCAGGGCTGCCAGTGGATCGGGGCCGCTTTCGGTGGCCAGCTTCAGCATGCGGGACGAGAAGCCTGACATCAGCACGACTCCGGTGTCAGTGGCGACTGCCGGTGCACCTGAGGCTCCTCGGAGATTCCAGAACACCAGTTCGGGCATCGTCCGGCCTTTCCGGCGGTAGTCCGCCTGGATTTGCCTCAGCACGGGCATGTTGCCACCGGCATGGGCGAACTGCATGTCGGAGAAGACAAGGACCTTCTTGGGCTGCTCGGCAGATTGCTGCAGCAGCTCAAAGACCCGATGGAAGTTCGTGCTCCCACCCCAGTCCAAGCGCCTCACAAACTCGGCCAGCTCGGCAAGGTCAGAGGTGTTCGGGAGCTTCACGATGTTCGGCCTCTCGTGGAACGTGATGACTTGCCGGGCCAGGGGCCCTGAAGCAAGCTCTGCCACCAGCAGAGACAGCGCAATGGCCACGTCCATGCAGCTGATGCCAGGGGCAGCCTCACAGGTCATTGAGCCCGATACGTCGCAGACCGCGATGCAGTCTTTTAGTTGGCCAGCTTCCCGCATGCTCTCCACCATGGCACGCCACTGCGCCTGTGCCAGGCCCTTCTCAGCGTCGGCCCGCGAAGCACGCTTGAGGATCTCGTGCGGCTGCAAAGCGCCGGTGTTCACCCGCACCTTCCCACCCTCGACCTTGTCCATAAACTCCCGAAAGCGAACGGCGTCATGCTTCTCGAAGCTCTTGACGTGCTTGGTCAGGCACGCCGCCGGAAGGGCCTGGTATCGGATCTCGGCCCAGCGGTGCTGGCACATGAGCCGCTCTGGCAGCTTCATGTATTCGGTCAGCTCAGAGAGCCGCTTCCTGAGCTGGTCGCGGGCCCGGTAGGCGTACTGCCGCTCGGTGCATCCAGCGAACTCTGGCAGGCTCGCCGGGAAGAGCCAACGGGCAATGCCCTCGCAGAGCAGCGTCCTGCGATCGAAGGAGTGGTACAGCAGGGGGCACCACTTCGCGCACAGGCTGACCCTCTGACCTCGATGCATGGATGCCAGGTCCGTGCGCAGCTGCTCGGCAAAGAGCTGGCCGACGCGCTCGAACAGGGATCGGTAGACCGGGTCGTTGTCATAGCGCTTCCTTGTAGCAAACCAAAGCTTCACAAAACACTCTTACCTGAAATTCAAGCAGGGACGCGCCGGATAGATTGCCAGGCAAGTTTCAGTGCTTCTCGTGCCATCTCCAAGCGAGAGCCTGGCCGGTAGTTGCCCTCGCCCTGAAGGCCAGCATCCGTCTTCAGGTACCTGGGCAGTTCAAGCACATACCGCCAGGAGGGGCCACAGATGTTGGGTTGAAGCTTGGGGTCGGGGATGCCTGTGTCTTTTCAGGACTCCAGGGTTGTAAAGGCTGAAGAGGCTCGGGGGCCACGTCAAAGTGAGTGTCATTGTGGGCTTGCATACTGCAGAGAACTTCCTACATGTCAAAGAGTGACTGTGAGCCCTGTACCAGAATGTCAGGGTCCTTCACTCACTCCTCTTTCTGCACTAACCAGCCCTGTCCAGGATCCCCGAGCCTGGCACCAGATGGCGCCAGCCTGTGGCTGTTAACCGCTCTGGCTCGAACAGAAGACCCAACGATTAAACCCAGATTCCCGTATTACAGAGAGCCACTTGTGCCGGCTGGTGGCTTGCGCTCCTCCGGCACCTTCTGGCAGCGCTTGTAGTGGCCGTGTAAGGCCAGGTCTCGCTGCAGGCTGCGCGCTGGGCCCTCGCAGACGCGCGCCAGCACCTCCAGCAGGCCCTTCCAGTAGTTGCACTCGGGTATGAGGTGCAGGTTGGCCATGACCGTGGCAGGGTCCTTGTACCAAAGCCACATCATGGCATCGTAGAAGGAGTACCTGTCCTGCTTGCCAGCCCGGGATCCCAGCAGGAACATCTGCTTGAGGCAGATTTCGGGACTCTCGGCCCAAGCCTTCTCAAGCAGCTCCTTGAGCTGTATGTTGTCCTTGGGTGTCCCCTGGGGCACCGACTGGAAGAACAGGTCCACGTTTGCAGAGCCTGTGTCCTGGAACATTATGCCCCCGACCTCCGTGTCGGCCAGTGGCCTGTCCGCTTCGACGAAGGACAGGATGAGCCGCACCACATCTCGGCGGCCGACACTGGGCCAGAGCATTCTGCCGCACGCCTCCTTGTCCAGGCACCTGAGCCTGCGCCTCAACACCGCCTCCATGGAGAGCTTGGCGGGCATAGGTGCCTCCGTCGACGACGCAGCAGCAGGCGCTTGCGCAAGCCCCTGGCGGCTTCGCGCGAGGCCGCGCAACTCGCTGGGCCCACAAAGGCCCAGAGCCAGGCTGTCCTCTGGCTGCACGTCCACTGGGCACTTCATGGTCGGATCCAGGTTTTGCGCGCTGGCTGGCGCTCGCTTGCGGGCCGGCATCTTCACGGTCGTACTGCGTCTGTATAGGGCTGGTCAAGGGCCTGGGGCCTAGCTCATCACACCTGTCACAACTTAGAGCCACAAGCACCGATTTTCGAAAGCATATTTTTTGCGGCATATGGTCAGCAGGGAAGTACAAGGCATACTACGCATCCGACATCCACCGACATCCCAGGGCCTTGATGTTGTTCTTTGACATGAGGCCCGACAGCGCTTTGGTGAAGGTTGCCTGATTGAAAGACATTGAATGTCCGCACGTGCCGACATTCTCTCATCATGTGAGCTACAAGGACGGTTTTGAGCTTCCGTGGGGTGCTGGCAATAAACTCGTGAATGATCATACAAGCTCAAGCACTGTGGACCTTCTTCCCTCGCTGCAGTGGAAGTGCCAGCCCACACCTGCAGCTTCGCGTCATTGGAACTTTGGCATGGGAGATGACTTGAGACAACCACAACCCAGGAAGGATCCAGAAGGTTTGTGTCACACACAGACACCGGGCTCTTCACACAGGATCCGATTCCGTTTCTAAGATGGAGGACCTCTGGACTCTGCCTGATGGGAATGAGGGGGTGGGCGCAGCAAGGCTGTCTTAGCATCGAGGTGAACAGCACTTGTCCTCATGACTGAAACTGTGACGAACTGCTTGAAAATGAACCATGGGGCATCACGTTATCACAGGATTCGTTCACAATTCAGCAGAGATCTGCAGCACGTCGCCCTTTCTCCATGGAAAGACTCGCGCAGTACGCCCTCGGCGCCCGTAAGCTACCACTCGAAGAGCGACTCCGCCTGGCTCTGCGTCGGGCATTGTTAGGCTACAGTAGCTGCTGATCTCGCCATTCTGCGGCTAGCCATGGTCTCACCATTAACATGGCATGATCTAGATAGACATAGGAAGACCTCCTCTCCCCGACTTCCGTGCAACGAGCGCCTGCCTGCGCCGCCTTCTGGAAATCCCGGTGCGCGTCTGGCACTGCCGCCTCTGCGCTCGGGAACTCCTCGGCAAGGGGCCGCGGGCAGTCAGCCGGGAAGGTCTCGTGGAGCCACCTGACAGGGCCGAGGCAGCATGCGGCAGCCCTGAAGTTGGGAGCCCCTGGCAATTGAGGTCGGCGCTGCGCAAACTGGTGGCCGTGGAGCATCACCTTACTGATCACATTCTAATCCTGTAGCTGCGCAGAGCAGCGGTTTCGGCCGGCCACCGTGCCGTGTGACCAGAAAAGGCCCTGCTCGATCACAGGCTGATCAGCAAGCTCCCTATTCCTGCCCAGTGGCCACCCCATCCTGTGAGAGGTCCCGAAGTGCGCGCAGGCGCGCCGGCGGCAGCGGGCTGCCTGCGTTCTTCGAAACGTTCCGGGAGTCAAGTTTTCAGCCCGCAAACTCCAGCGGTAATCCGGTAGACTCCCGGCGCCTCGGATCTCGGCCGCCAGAGCCTCGATGGCATCCAAGGCCTCCCTGCCCTCGGCAATGGCAGCCTCGAACTGGGCCTTGTGGCCTGGCACATGGCAGGTGTGCGTGGCGTGGAATCTCGTGGCAAGGACACGGACATCCTGGGTTTTTGGTGTTAGCAAGGGTTTAAGTTTAGGGCTTTTGTAGTTGTTTTTTTCAACTAGTGCGTCCTAAACAGACCATCAAAGCAGCTTGCTTCGATTTTGAAGGCTGTGAGTAAGGGAGACCTCCCTAAAGCAGGGCTATGACGAAGGGAAGAGCCCCACCCCAAAGCCGCAACTTTAAACCATTCACCCACGGGCCCTGCATCAGGAGTCGAAACGAGCACAAGGTACTACGCCTTTGGTGTGGCGTGGCATCGTGGCGAGGACAGCCATCTTTGGTGCTTGGGATTGCTAAGGGTTTAGGGCTTAGGGTTCATCGCCCATTGCTTTCTACTATTGGGTCGCTCTAAGGAGCACCGATCAAAGCAAGTTGCTGCAGTGCAAGGGCTGCGACTAAGGGAAACTTAACCTGGCCAAGGTCATCTACCTCTGACACATGTACCCACTGCCGAAGCACCTGCCTTCGCAGGTGTTGGGGCAGCAGAGATCATAGAAGCCTCATCAAGCACGCGATGTGTCTCCCTGCGACGTGGAGAGAGTAGCAAGATGCGTTGTTGGAGAACATTCCTGTCCGAAACACACCTTCCAGAATCTCCCAAATGGAGGGTGCTGAAGACTCACTGAAGACTGCCAAGGCACTCGTGGTCCCGTCGCAATTGGAGGGTGCCAGCCTTCAGCGATCACAGACAGCACAACACCGCCACCTCATGCTACCCCGACCCCAACGTAACTACTTGGTAATGTGACTACTCTATCCTCCACGACCCTAGAAGCCATTTGGACAAGGGCACATGTAATTGGGCACCAGCACCATGGGTTGGGACGGATTCTTCTCGTCCAGTGCGCCAGCCATCCGCAAGTACTCCGTCGTCTCTCCTGGGACTGTTCCGACTGCACAAGATCCCAGAGCTCTAGACTCCAGACTCCAGATTTGGGGGTTTCAGACATTAGGGGTACCTATTGGGTTTCTATTACAAGGGAATCGGGTTCCTTATAGGGGGCCCCTTATCTTCGTAGACTCCCGCTTCCCTCAGCACTGCCCCCTCTGCGTCTGTGCCACGGAAGAGGTCGCCTTTGCGCATGGCCGCCAAGCCCACCTGGTACGAGTAGAGGGTTCATGGTACTTATTAACCAATTAGCACTGTACTTATAACTCTGCAGAGGCAACGAACAAGTCCTCCTGGTCCACATTTCTGCGCCAAGTTGACCCAGATGTACAGCAATCCTCTCCCCCCTAACAGTAACCCCCTAAAACGAATCCTACCCCAAGACGAAATAACCCTAAACCCTAAGCAAGCCCTAGACAAACCCTGGACCCTAAACAAATTCGATTTAATCCCTGAACAAACCATAAACCCTAACCAAGCCCTACATCCGAAACAAACCCTAAGCCCCAAACAAACCCTAAACCCTAAACAAACCCTAAACCCTAAACCCTGAACCCTATACAAACCCTGCATCCTAAACAAACCCTAAACCCTCAACCAACCCTGAACCCGAAAGAAACCCCAAAACTCTCAACAAACCCTAAACCCTAAACAGCACTTCAATCCAAAACAAAACCTGCAAACCTAAATAGCCACTAAACCCTAAACCAACCCCAAACTTTAAGCAAACCCTCAACCCTAAAGTCCCTAAAGAAAATCCTAAGCCCGAAGCAAACCCTAAACCCGAAGCAAACCCAAAGCAAACCCCAAACCCTACACAAACCCTCAACCCGAAGCAAGTCTCAAACTCTAAACAAACCCCAAAACTCTGATCAAACCCTATACCCTGAGGGAACCCCCAAAACCCTAAGCAAACCCCAAACAAGCTCGGAGCCCTGAGCAAACCCTTAACAAACCCTTAATCCTAAACAACCCCTGAACCTAGACCCCAAACCAGCCTTGAAAAAAAAAAAGAAACACAAAATCCAAGACAAAACCCTAAACCCTGAACCCTAAACCCTAAACCCTAAACCGGTGTTTCCCCGTTTCCCGCTGGTCTCCGTGCTGTTTGCCGACTGTTGCCTGGATGTTTCCTGACTGCCCCCCCGGGTGTTTCCGAAATTTTGCCGGTGAATGTGGCCCGTGTTTCCTGAATGTGCTACTCTGCCCTAAGCCAATTCAAAGCCAAAAGACACCTCAAACCCTGAACAAACCACAAAACCTAAACAAACCCTAAACCCTAAAACAAAGCATACACAAACACTAAACCCTAGAAACAAACCTTAAACCCTAAATTGAAACAAAAAATGAACACACCCTGTACCCTATGCAAGCCGTAAACCCTATGCAAACCCTAAACCCTATGCAGAACTTTGAACCCCAAACAAACCCTAACCCCTAAACAAACCAAAACGCTAATAACACCTTAAACCCTAAACAAACCCTAAACCCTAAACAAACTCCCTATCTCGACCTCTATGCAATTTGGATTGTCCGCTATTCGCGCAGCTATCCTGACCGTGACCGACCATAGGACCCTATTGATAGAACCCTGTCCGTTTTGGATAGACCTCTATCCAAAGACCCCTATGCCGATGCCAAGTCCCATAGACCCCTATCGACAGGGTCTCCCGACCTATAATAGGGACATATGTTTCAGACAGGGTATGGGATTTGGCATAAGGGTCTTTGGACAGGGTCTGCCCAAAACGGATCGGGTTCTATCAGTAGGGTGGTGGGTGAGGATAGGTGTGCGATTAGCGGCCTATCCGAAACGCGGAAAGGTCTATGTAGGGGTGTGTCGAGGCCGATACTAGGGGGATGCTTTCCGGATCTATCTTCACCCTAAGAGCCTTAAACTCCGCAACCCACGTGTTGAGCGTGGGGTGGCGGTGATGCCTTGCCCTCCGTGCCAGCGGACATTGCAGCGAGGCTCTTGGCCATGCTGGTGCCTTTGAGTGTTGAGTTCTTGGGTTGACTTGAGGGCGTAGGATTTGAGATTGGGTTTAGGGTGTAAGGCTGTAGGGCTTCTAAGGCTTTAGGGGGCTTGCGGGAGCCTAGATGCCCAGCACGTTCAATGTACACTGCACGCAATATACACAACTTCTAAGGCATCATCTTGCTTGGACGTCCCAGGCTCACATTGACCCGGAGACCTCTCGGAAGCTTTCGAGCACCTGCGAGGGTCAACCCCAAATCCCTGGAGAAGGCCGCAAACTCTCCAAAGTGATACTAATACTATTCATATTCTTTGTAATACTAACAGTATTAATCATATGAATACTACTCATAATACTCTCTTCTTTCTTTGGAAGAACTATCTGAACAAACCGTGCCCCATCCAACCTTCTCGCAAGCTGCGGCCGCATCATCGAAGGAAAGGTCGGCCCCTGGCGTTTCCGAAGACTTCCGGCGCAGCGCACCAAAAACAAAGTTGCGGCACTTGAGGGGTTGACATCTGAATACTGGCGCACCTCTAGCAAGTTTCGGTCTCGAAACGAAAGCATGTGAAGACTCAGCTGTGCAAAGCTCCCGGTGCCTGACACCAAGACTCGTTTCTGAGCTTCCTTGGCGATGGAGTCTCGGACTTGGCCCCAGCCTTCCTCAGCGGGTTGCAAAAGCTCACAAAAGCGCCGACAGCCATACAGCCACCACGCTTTCAGCACCTACAAGTATAGCAACAGTAACAGCACGTGCAGGCACGAGATTATGCCACCATACGCGTCAATTCTCAGCCAAGCCTCGTAGACTTTGTGGACAAAGGCCACCTCTTCCCTCCCCTTCTCCAGTGTCAAGGCATACCCGCTGTCAGCCCGCTGGCTGACAAACACGTAGTGGGCCATGAAGACCTCCTGACAACTGTCGCTCGGTACAACTTCCCCGAACCGAAGTCGGGAAGTCGAGGCAAGCACTGATCGGTGAATGGCAAAAAACTCGGGGAGCGAGCTCGGCGAGTTCATGGAGCTTCTTGTGCCCAGCGGCCAAGATGCTCTCCAGGCCTGCGGCATCCGTGGCGTCCTCCGCAAATCACGCAGAGCGTCACCGCAGAAAATGACCGACGTGTGTGTAAGAACTAGATGCTGAACACGGCTGGTGCTGCCCGCGCCTCTAGGTTCAGGTCATGCACGGACCAGCTCTGCTTGAGGCGCTGTCCTTGCCAGCGAGCACTGTGCACATCAAGTCATGGGGACCGACTGCTTTGCGAAACGGCAAGGGATTCACTGCCATGATCCATGATGGTGCCCAAGAAGAAACGCAGCAGGGCTGGAGTCCCAGAAGCTGCCCCGCGTGTAGCGCAGCTGAGAGTCTTTCATCTCCATGCAGCAAGTGCTCCAGCGTGGCGACGAAGACGGCCTCGGATCACGAGCCAGGCGATGGCACTGTTCCTTGAAAGCCACCCTCCTCGCAGGCAAGGCACCAAGGTCTTGAGATTCAGGCCGGATCCCACCTTCAAGGGAGGATAGGGAGGAAACCAGACAGACGCCAGAGAAGTTGAAGATGTCCCAACACAATTTGGCGGAAATGGAGTTTCGTTTCCCATTGAAACATCAAAACTGTTCAGTAGAAAGGCAATAGAAACCTGCTATTCAACCCAAGAATCTTGGGTTGAATAAGAAACCCGAAACAAAAGGACACACAGCCAGGTAAACTAAAAATGCTGAGAAAGAAAAAGAAGAATCAGCTGGAGACGGGTCATTGCGCAACGCCTGCCTCCCCTCTCCCAACTCCAGCACCAATCCGCCGAGGCCTCGGGCCGAAGGTGTATAGGTTGTCAGAACAGGCACCCCCCTCCAAATCCTCCCCCCAGGCCCAAAGCCACTTTTCGGCCCCCTTTTTTTGCTTCAAATGGGTACCCCCCCTAGGAGAGGAGGGTCCGCAAGCGGATGTCTCGCCAGGACCAGAGGCAGTTGCAGCCCATCCAGCAGGGCGCCCCCCGTTTTTCGCTTCCCCACTCAAAAACCCCACCCCCCCCCCACCCCCCCCCGCCCCCCCCCCCCCCCCCCCCCCCCTACCCCCCCCCCTACCCCCCCCCTACCCCCCCTCCCCCCCCCCCCCCCCCCCCCCTCCCCCCCCACACCCCCACCTGTTGCCCCCCCCCCCCCCTTTTTTCACCCATCCTGTCGCCCTTTCAGCAGAACCCCCGTTGTTCACCCCGCCCCGCCCCCCCCCCCACCCCCCCCTCCCACCCCACTCGGCCCCCCCCCCCCCTCCCCCCTACCCCCCCCTCCCCTCCCCCCACCCCACCTCCCCACCCTGCCCAAGAGTCGCCTTAAACCTTAAGGGGCCTGGCTCAACCCTACGATCACTCCAAGCCGAACCCTAAACCCAAAAAAACCCTCAACCCCAAAGCGTGAACCTTGAGCCCTAAACTAACCCTCAACCCCAAACCCCAAACCATAAACCATAAACCCGGAACCCTCAACCCTCAACCCTCAACCCAACCCTTATTGCTTGGGGTCCAGCGACTTGGGCGCTGCGGAATCACCATGCTCACGCGGATGCGCTGGGCCGGGCCGAGGCGGGTCGCGTAGCGTTAAAATTAAACCCACAATATCAACAGCAATGACATCATCTGCAGCAACATCAGCAGCAACATCATTACCAGCAACATTCAACAAGAGTTTATGTAACAGTCATGAGGCTGAAGGCCCAGATCTCGGACACCAACCTATGAAGCACTCAGCATCACTCAGCCCAACCACAATCCCACGACCTGGGCTGTATTTTGCTAGGCCCCCAGTGCCTTCTGCTCCAGAACCTGGGCTGCACGGCTACGATGGCGACAACGTCTGACTCTGAAGGCTCCGCCGTTGCAGATCGCGGGAGTCTGAAGCCGGGCGGCTTGTAGCAGATGCCCGGCCACGCGGCTCCGCAGAGCTTCCTCAGAACTTGCTGGGAAGACCTGCGTAGGCCTGTGGTGACATTTATCGGTCTCTCACAGCAAACCGCGCGTCCTTGTGATCCGGGGGCTGGCGGCCGTCTCCAGCTGGGTTCAATCCACGCACATACCTCTCGCGCGGCAGGCACTCTGTGTTCATCTCTGTCATTCTCTGTTCCACGCCCCGAACCTACAAAGCCAGGTGTGTATCCAAAGAACGGCACAATAATGAAGGGCATGCGACATACACCCTGTTTGTAAAAATTCTTTTCTCGACCCCTGAGCTCTAAACATCTCCAAACGAAACACCGGGTGGCCAGGAGTGGTGGCGCAGGAAGTACTGATGCAGCAGGTACCGCGCGGAGGCAAGGCCCAATCCGCCCTGAAGCGGGGCGGAGATCTGCAGGCCCTAGGCCACCACCGCTTAGAGGTTCATGGGTACTTGCAACCCCCAATTGTAAGTCTACTTGTAACCAACTCAGAGGACTTGGGGGCTCATAAGTACAGTTAGAATTGGGTTTGTAAGTAGCCCTGAGCCTCTAAGTGGGCCCCCTTTCTTCAGAGCGCACACACGTCGCAGAGTGCACGGAAGTCGCCTCGATGTCAGCCAGCGGGTACTCGTGAGGCAACGTAGCATAGAGCGGGCGCAGGTCCTAAGGACAAAACGCCATCAAGCAAACACGCCGGCTACACGCACTTACCAACTCATCCTTGCCATGCTGTATACTTGTTCTGAATAGGAAATTCGAGATGCTAGGGCACCCATTCCCCCCCACACACGTCTCTTTGTTCAGGGACTCTTTGACTGTTCTTCGGACACCTGAGTCCCGGCTCATTCTGCGATGAACCACTCAGCTTGACCTCGCTCCTCCCCTGCCCTTGCCTCCTCCAGCTTCTGGAGCCGGATGCCATTGAAGGCCGAATGGTTCCTGGAGGACAAACCGGACCCCTTGCCGCACATTGGGGTTTAGGGTTTTAGGCTTTAGGGTCTTAGGGTTTAGTTTAGGGCTCAGGGTCATCCTCACAGGTGAGAGCAGTACCAAAGAGAGCGCGCTGCCAAGGCACCCAGCCAAGGCAGACTCGATCTCCGCGACGAGGGCTCGCTCCAGCCTATCGCACCCCCAAGCAGTTCAACGACGCCCCACTCCCGGAACCCCTTAAACCCTCAAGATCCTTGAGCGCTTTTTTACACCCGCGTTGGCCTGGCACGACTCTCCTCCTCGTCGCAGTCCGCGACGGACTTGCGAAGACTGCAATGCAAGGCGGGTGTGGCTGTCGCAACACATCCGAAGCCTTGTGAAGTGCGGAGCGCCAACTAAAGCTGCACCTGGTCTTCACGAGCCCCAGGGGTCGCGCCAGGGACGTCAAAGCGCAAACTCCCGGGCTGAGCCCTGCCGAAGCCGAGAGATTCTGGGTGTCTAGGATGTTGAGACACTGGCTTTATTTGAACCAGCCTTAACTGTTTTAAGGGTCAACCTGTGCGCTGTAGCCAACCTTCAGCTGTGCAAGACTCATCGTCGTCGCTGTAGCCTCAGCCACGGCTCAAGATAACAAGAACTGACAACGTGCTATCCAGAGATCATCCAGAGAACCCACACGCCAGGCACCGGGCGTGCACCGACGGCGCCGACCTCATTCCCGGAGGTCCTCGGTTCATGACGGATGCCAATGGTCCCCTGTGTCCTCTTGCTTCTAAGCTGCTCCCTGGATGCGTCTTGGAATGTTATGGACGTCTCCCCGGAGGTCTCTGTCGTCTTCGAGCCCCGGAGCCTGCCCGAGATTGCCCGAGGCATGCTTCAGGAAGTTTCCCCACAAGCCCTCACGCGTCCTGTCCTCAACCCGCAATGAACACGTGTGAAACCATGTGAGACTGGTGCCTCGACTGCATCAGCACTACGCCCTCGGCAGAGATTGCCGCGGCGGCGTTCGGCTGGGAGCCGAGGGCTACGATGAACAGAATGAAGCGCCTTATTGCAAGATGCATAGGCTGCAGAGGTGTGAGAGCCTTAGGTGGGCTCAAAAGCTGCTGGGTCCGTTGAGCCCATGGCATTGCCATTGCTTCGCTAAACGGGTGTGGCGTAAATCACTCAGAGCTGAGCGGCTGCGTCCAAACACGAGCTGTCACGAGCCTGAAAATGCCCGAAACACCCTGAAACCACGGTAGTAGCGCTCGACTCCTCCATGTCCTTCCCCACTTCGCGCTGAACAGAGCTAAATGCTTTGGGTGAGTACGAGAGAAGTCTGCTGCAGCATATGAAGCATGCCTAACAAAAATTGAAGCACATCGTCCATTCGTAACGTCGTAGGACCTGGGTACCAGCTGGAGACGTGCTGAGGCTCCTTTCGTTTGCGTCTGACAACGGAGCTTCTGGAGTCCCAGACAGCACCAAGGATTGGGTCGCCACGGCTTCAAGCCAGAGCTTGGCACGGATCGCAGCGCTAGGCCGCTGGGCTGGCTTGGGCCACTTTTGGACATTTTAAGGGCATTTTGCAGCTACAGTATCCCTGGCTACGCAAGCCGGCCAAGCCGCGCAGGCTGCACAGTCATTACCACGGCTGAAACGGACCCGGGCCTGCACCGGAGGCCTTCGAGAAGCTCCGGCGGGAAGAGGGTGATCTCTCCCGGTCTCAGTAAAGATTCAAGCTGCCTCTTCTGATGACAGGCTACTGTAGCTCCTAGGTCCGGTGCTGCGCTGCAAACTCCTGGAGGCCATGCCTGAGATAGGACTGGCGGTTCCAAGGTTACCTACCTGACCACTCAGCAACATGAGGTGCCCACTGCTGAACAAGCCTGTCGTCATCTTCTTGAAGGCCATCCAGATCCTCGGGCGCATCTGAGGCAGGTACGTGTAGGATCGTGTAGGCCAGGTTGGAGTAAAAATGAAGAAACAGATGGAAGGTTCCTTTCAGGCGCTAGGAGAGCCGTATCTTCCGAGTGAGGGGGACTGCCGCGCCGAAACAAAGTCATGCTGAGAAGGCCACGGCTGCCCCGATCTTCTGGCAAATTCGATATATCTCTCCAGACTTGCCTTGGAGAGTTGGGCTCGGGGTAGGGATGGGCAGATGCATCGCCCTTACAAGGCTTGCTCGCCGGCCTTTCATGGCGGCTGTGTTCATGGCAGTCCGAGTCGTGTACCTGAAATCTGCCAGAAGATCACCAGCGTGGCTATGCGACGCTCCGGCTCAGGCAAACTTCAGTACCACTCTGGGCCCGGTGCGACACATCCATCTCGTAGCGTCCTGAAGTTCCCAATGGTATCTGTTTGCACTTCCTGTAGCCCATGTGTCTTGGGCTGCGTGTTCATGCCATGGTTTGCAGCAGGCAATGGCATCTCTGTCTCTCGCTCTCTATCTCCCCGTGTCCTAGACACTCGTAGCTTGCATGTGCCGCTTCCGCCATGATGGCTTCCAGGACGTCCTTTCAGATTCATTCTGCTTTTTCATCATCTGACAAAGCAGACCGACCCGTGTCTTGCAAATGTTCTGGCAGTGGAGTCCTCTTTCTGTGTGACAGATGTGTACTCACCTGCATGGCGACAGCCATCAAAGAAGAGCTAGTCTGTGCGTAGTCAACTCCAGGTGCAGAAGCATCCACCTGTGACTTTTTTCAAGACCTTCTGGATCTCGGTAAGGTCTTAGTAGTGCACGTGTGAACCATCATGTACCTCTACTCCTCTTGCTGGATGCAAGCGGCTTAAAACCGCCAGCCAACCAAGTGTCACACGCGAGTCGTCGGCGGCCGGACCTCCGCATGCAAAACGAAGGGTGGTGAAGAGTAAGGCAGCATCTTCACATCGCAGATGTGCAGAAAAGTCAGCCCGGAGCCCATTGCAAGCCGCGCCAACTTCCACTTCGAGGTGGCCGCAGGTCGTGTCTCAGGTAGATGCTCTCTGGAGATCTATGATTCTTGTGGGCGCGGGCATAAACGCGAAAGAAGACATGGCAACGTTCGCGGCTGCTGGCGCATGATGCGCATGTGCTTCGTTACGAGTGTCCAAGTGCAGGGCCATGTGCTTTGTTTCTTGGCGCACTCCTGACCTCCCGACTCCGGGGGGGAGCATGCACAGCTCACCAGCCTCTCTCTCAGAACAAAGCCGAATGCCGGGGGGTCGGTCGGGCTTGCGAACCACTGTTGTCTGTCAAACCCCGTCCTGCTCTCCATGCTCTGCAGCACGCTGTCTCAGTAGGTGCAGGTGCGGGAACGTGCATGCAGTGTGACGATCCAGCGCTACTCTCTACCGCAACCCAACGCAAAGCTAAAGCGGGATGTCGGGCTGTGTCCCAGACCCATGTGCTTCCGCTGAGGAGAGGCCGGCGTAGGAGGCATGTCCTCTTCATGAGAGACCGTCTCGCGGAATTCGCAGATCCCTTGTGAGCCCTTTGTCCTTCGGAGTTCGCGGTGTTCTCCGGGAGGCCTTCCTGGAGAATCCAAGGGCTGCAGCAACTATAGTGTGTATGTGGTTTATACAGCGTAGATTTATGTCTACGCTGGTATATGTCTCTCTTTTTCGCTTTGCTTGAGGACAACATTCCCCTGGGGCGCCTTTGGTGGCCGTCACTTTCGGCGGGGTGCTCTGCCAAAGCATCCTGAGCATAAAACGCACAGAAACCGTATGGACTTTCACATGGGCTAGGATGTCGAGCATGCGCGCACGCACAAACACGCGTGCGCATGCGCTCTTGACAAGTATCGGATATGAAAGCAGAACCATGCAACTACGCATGTCATTGAACATGTTATCTGTCAACATGTCAGCAAAGTATCTTTTGGACCGGACACCCCCAAACGTGGTGCTTTCTAGCTTTCGGGCACAACATCCCTTGCTCTCGCTTTCTGAGGGGGGGGGTCGGAAATCATCGGCAGTACCAGCAGATCTGTTACCTGATGCTGCCAAAGAACGCTGCTCAGAGTCATGTTCTGCCGTGCCGCCATCCGCCTTTCCAGCTTGAAAGAGATACGACGGGCCATTGGATGCATTGAAACCGACCCGAGGCATAAGGCCAAGGCGGAGACGGCGAAGCAACACCATTCCTCGGAATCGGCGTGGGGGGGACATCGCGAAAGTGAGAGCAGAGCCCGGAGAGCCCTGAGAGATCCTGAGAGGCTCTCCCGCTGCAGCGAGAAAGGAACGCTGTCACACAGGACTCTTAGGATTCTTTTGTGCAGCTTCTTGTGCAGCTGCGCATCGCCGCCATCCTCAGGTTCCCTCCGCGTCAAGGAGGAACCTGACCGACGAGCAGCGACCAGCATCCATTATCTCATTGCTTTCTCTTAACTTCACAGGAAGTATGTCCATCTCATGAATCAGAGATGCACTGGGAAAAAGGGTGTCGACGTTGCCTGCCTGGTCTGGTGCACGTGGCGTCGGAGGCTATGGGGCACGGCTCGCAAGCAGCGCACGCGAGTGTTTCTGCAACCTCTTACTTACATCTGGGTTTGGTCAAGGTGCTCATTGCCATTTGACTGCGAAGCAGGTATAGTCGCTGGGTCTGTGGGGCTGCTTTGGCGACCAAAGTGTTGGAGATGAGCGCCCATAACTCGATTCATGCCATGCTTTGTCCACCTCCATGAGGCCGACGCGGCCGAAAGCAGCAGCAAAAAGGTGGGATCGGCGCGCTGGGCAGACTTCGACATCTTCTGTTGATGTAGCCTAGCTAACACATGCTAACAATCACCACTGGGCTCCCAGTTCGAACTGCCCGTCGCTGGTCATCATTGGAGCGCTTCAGGTAAAAGACCTGCCGTTGCAGAAAGGTGGTGCAAGGGATGCGCCCTGGGTTGTGATCGAATTCGAAACAACCCCATGAACGCCACCCGACGTAGAACTTGCGTTCAAGCGCATGTGAAAGCACCTTGGTCCAGTTCTTTACACCAACAAAGGTCTTAAAATGCCTCCACAGCAAGGGAGGAGACTCCCGGAAAACGTCACTCGGAAGCAAAGGACTCTCTTAGCTTCCTAACCATCTCAGGTCGAGGTTGACAGCTCAATCACACAACTCGGACCGGGCCAGCTGGGGCTTCACTGGCTTCAGGCTTGGTAAGAGAGTAGGCTTCCACACCTAAGGGGATCCAAAGTCATTTCTCGTCCGTGGAGTCCATAGTCTCACTTTCCTCTTTCCTACGAAACAGCAATGCGGTGCGTTTCATCATCGTACCCTCCTAACCCATCCCAACCTCCCGAGAAGTCACGTGGCTTGCAAGGCCACAATGTCCGCAAAATGTTCAAACACCGTTGTGTTTGGAACATGTTTGGTGTTTTAGGATGTATAAACCAGGACCTTCTCATGTCTCTCGAAAGCGTTTAGAAGGCAGTGCACATCATGTCCGTGCACAGTGCACTGGCTGACGCTACCGCCCCCAACCCTGAGCGCACCCTCAACGAGGAGATCGATCCGAGCCTCAGGCAACATGCGGCTTGTCTGCCAAACGCTGAAGGGTTGAGGCAGGCCCAAGACTGTGTTGGTCATGCGCTGACATACATATGTATATCGATATATATGTATATTATATATATATATATGTATGCACGCATCTTGCACTAGCTAGCATCCTGCATTAGCTACACGTTGGCGGAAGTTTAACCTTCAGATGTGCTCGCAAGAGCAAACCCTTGGGCCTCGTGTTCTGAAGCTTGTGAACCAACCCTTCAGTCGCGCCCTAAACTCGTCTCTATTCAGCAGAGGACACATATAGTATCACAATGTTCCCTTGGAAAGTAATCGCGAAATCTTGCTCAAAGAAAAATGTTGCTTCGACGGCCATTCCGTCGACTGCAGCCTCTCACAACTTCTACAAGTTTACAACTTGTGAACGGCGCGAGTGCCACCAGAAAGACACAAGCAAACACACCAGACCCCCTGGGGGCCCCGTCTGCGGCATCCTTGGCTTCAGGAGAGTCGGGGAATGTCGGGGGTCGTAAACGGGCTCTGCGTTCAACGGGGAGACCTCTGCAGTCGCCTTGCGCCCAAAAATCCTCTGCATCGCAGCTGCACATTGCATGCCGAACCACTGCGCGGCACCCAGCAAGCCGTTGAGAGTCTCGTCTGTATCATCCTGCCAAACACGTTTGGGCTCCAGGGGCTGTGCCAAGACATCCTGGGCATGGGGTGGGGGCAAAGAGCACAAAAAAAAAAGGGGCGCCCCAAGTCGACTATTCGATGCAGGATAAGAATTGCAAAAAAAAGAACAGAGAAACTGGTCAGTCAAAAGCTCCTGGGCAGGAGTGAAGTGTCCCGTGTGTGTATATATATAATATGTGTATATGTATATATAGAGACCGGGACGCTGTGGGAGTGCACTTTTTTCTATTTGTTTAAAGATATTTCAAAAACACTCTCACAGCGCAGCCGTATTTTATATAAACACAATCACGAGTCATGCACAACATGCAAGTGCGCCAACACAAAGCAGCGATACAGTGTATGTCCTGTCCCCGTTTTCAAAATAAATTGGCCAACTTCATTGGAATCCTAGAAACAACAATAGGAATCCTCTATTTATATCCGTAGGAACCCTATTTTAAATAATCGGAGCCGTAAAGTCAATAGGAAGCCTCTTAACATGAATTGGAGACCCCTCACAAAAAGATGAGAATCCTCGTAGAATTAATCGGAATCCTATTAAACTGAAGAGGAACCCTACTACAATTAATACGAACCAATCGGACTCCTATAAAAAATCAGGCGAACCCTTAGAAATACTAAAATGAACATGAGCCTAAACCAATAGGAACCCCTTTAAAGTGAATGAGATCCCTATTAATATGAATACGAATCCCATTAACATGAACAAGAATCTGATGAAAATTGATAGGAATCTTATTACATGAGTAGGAGCCTTATTAAAATAATTAAGATCCTCTATTGAATTATCGGAACCGGATAACAGTTAATAGGACGGAAGCCTATTAAAATGAATAGGAACCGTTGACAAATCAAAAAGAACCCGGGTTACAATTCACAGGAATCCTATTAGAACGAGAAGGAATCTTACCAAAATGAATGGGAACCAATAGGCCTGCAAAACAATAGAATCCTTGTACAAGAACTAATAGGAACCCTGCTAAACTAATATGAGCCTAATCCTTAAAATTAATTAAAACCCTTTGCGAATCCCAGTAACATGAATAAGAACCCTGTTTAAATTGATAGGAACCTTATTACATTAGTAGGAGCCTTAGGGCGTGATGTCTTAAAATATGTTGCGAAGGTACAGTGTTTAATATAGATATTAGGTTTTGCTTATTGGGGATGATTGCTTGACTCATCCTAGCTAAGGTATAGTTTTTAGGATAGATGTCATGCCTTGCGTATTGGGGCGCGATTGATTATATGGAGGTTTTGGTACTCTCTCGAGATTTTGCAGGATTCGAGTTTGTTTTTTGGTACCTCCTCGAGAAATGGTGGCTGGGAGAGCGCCTCAGATCACGAAATTCATGGAAAACATTGGTTCTACCAATGTTGTTGAAAGATGGAGCCGAAAAACATTGGTAAAACCGACGTTTTCCAAAAATCCAGGATTTTCAAACCATGTAGCCGCGAGCACGAAATTCATGGATAACATTGGTTTTACCATTTTTTGAAGGATGGAGCCGAAAAAACGTCGGTACAGCCAATGTTTTCCAAAAAATCCATGCTTTTCAAACCATGTGGCTGGGAGCACGAAATTCATGGATAATATATCAATGTTCGTTACAAAAGGGCACTCAGAAATATAAAACACACATAAAACACAAATACCAAAAACAACTGTACAAAAAAAGCGTACAAAAATGAAATAACACCTAAAAGCCTAAAGAAAAACCAAAAAACAACCTTCAGAAGACACCGAAAAACCGTAAAAAAGAAAATGGTACAGCAAAATCTCCAATAATACACAAAAATCCTCGAAAAAACAAAAAACCAAAAAAACAAAAACACCAAAAAAACAAAAAAACCAATCCTGAGAGACTCTTCCCAGGGGTCCGGCTCCCCAACAGAGTCCCTCAGGATTGGTTTTTTTGGTTTTTTTGGTTTTTTTGGTTTTTTTGGTTCTCTTGGACAAGAATCCCCAAAAAACCAAAAAACCAAAAAAACCAAAAAAACCAAAAAAACCAAAAAAACCAATCCTGAGAGACTCTTCCCAGGGGTCCGGCTCCCCAACAGAGTCCCTCAGGATTGGTTTTTTTGGTTTTTTTGGATTTTTTGGTTCTCTTGGACTAGAATCCCCAAAAAACCAAAAACCCAAAAAACCAAAAAACCAATCCTGAGAGACTCTTCCCAGGGGTCCGGCTCCCCAACAGAGTCCCTCAGGATTGTTTTTTTTTTTTGGTTTTCTTGTTTCTTTTTCATTATTTTTGTTTGTAGGGATTTTGTGTAGTTTATTTCTTGTTGCACGTTTTTCGTATGTTTTTAGGGTTTTTTGAAGTTTTGCGTGTTTTTTTTTGTGGAAAAAGTGCACTCCCACAGCGTCCCATTTTCTATATATATATATATATCTACACATATTTATATATATATATATATATGCGTGCCTGCGTGCGTTAGCGCATGCGCACAGGGGCGCGGGCCCGCGGGCGCATACGCGTGCACGAGTGCAGGCGTGTGCGCGTGCATGTGTGCGTGAATGCGTGCGCGTGTGTGTCCACATCCTGCAACAGCTGTTCATGCTTGAATTTGTGGGTAAGCTCAATGATTGTGCATGCTAGCAACAACCTTTCGGGCCGGGTCTTGCATTTTGGGAGGACCAGTTTTGGCAGACATGCATACATGTTTCATTGCACAGGGAGCCGCAAGCCCATCCTTGGAGCTGCGGCAAACGAAAACCTCCAATGATTGGTGTGAAAACGTTTCCTGCGCAAACCGTGAAATCTGTTTATTGTCAGGCCGGTTGGGTGATTTGATGATGTGTTCCACGAGGGTCTCAAAACAGGATTGCAGGCAGGCAGTGAAGAGTGCTCAAGGGCACATGCGACATGTGTTGGGCTGTCTTGTGCTTGTGCTGTCATTCAACAGTTTGCACACTTCACACATGTCTCTGCAGAGACCACGTCAGTGCGTGGGGTGTGTGTGTGTGTGTGCGGATGTGAGCACGTGCAGTGCATGGCATGTGAGCTTGCGCACCGCTCGCTCACACTGCACAAAGAATTCATCGAACTAAACTAAACCCATTTACGATGCAAAGGATGCCCTTGAGGGCCTCCAGCGTCCAAAGTGGATAACCACTTGTAAAGCATTGTTGCGCACAGTGGTTGCCCTGCCAACTCAGAATGCCAGTGTCCAATCATCACGGACTCACTGCTTGTACTGGGCTGCACACAAGCAGAAAGACAAAATCCCCATCATGTGGAGACATGTCGAAGCCTCGATGGTTCGATTTTCCATTTCCTGACCATACTGGGAAACTTGACACAGGACAGTGTCTCTCTCCCTGACCGCAGCAGCATCGATATGATCCCGTACAAGCAAAGCATTTGCATCCTTCACATGCAGATGCACATCAAGCTGGCACGAGCCAGCCTTCTTGCCATTGAAGTAAGAATTGAGCAGTGAGCTGACGAACCTGTACCCACCAGCACAAACTCAAACCCGCAGTCGCACAGTTGTGGAGTCACTGACAAGTGCTCTTCCTCAAGGATCAATGCAACACGAAACTGCCGACAGACGACCGGCAAGTGTCATCAAGCGTGAGTGAGCAATGTCCGTCAGCTGTGTAGGGCAGCAGCGCATGGGGAAAGGCCCAGTCGTAGCCAAAAGTCTCCCGCATCGTGTCCGCGATGACGAGGCCTGTCCTGGACGAAAACAAATGTCCGTTTGGCACAAAGAGTGGACCTATCGCGCTGTGTGGCACCCTTCATTGGACATTAGTACTCTTTGAGAATGCTTCATTTTCCGCTTCAAGTGTGACAGGAAGCACCAAGTTCAGAGCATGGGATCACCATTGCTGATGTGCTCCATGGCCTGGAAGCGGACTGAACTTCAAAGTGGCACGCAACTGACGTCCGTAAGCTCCACCCGGATGCCACTCTTCCCAACTCGGGTCACGACCAGGTTCTTATAAACGTCAGGAAATGCGCCGACCTGGATTGCAGCAGATTCGATGCCAGCTCTGCAATGCGAGCCCATGACCGACCTCCAGAAGCAGCCACTTGTCCAGAGCGTTCCTGTCCTCGCCCTTGAAACGCACGTCGTACCTGACCAGGTCACCATCCACAAGGCTTCTTCCCAAGCTTGCACTGCCAGGGTTGAAACACCGGCCTACTGGATGATTTCGGAGCTTTGTTCTCTGACACGCTCTGCGCATGTGCACATGTGTCACAGTGCCAGCACAGCTTGTGATACAAGCTGAAGCATTTGGATGAAGCTGAGTTGTGGGTCTTGTGAGCAGGGTTGTCCGGCCGGGTGCTGTAAATGATGTACCCCACCGTGCAGCCTCGGACCTGTGACCACTTGCAGGGACCTGCCCATGAGGCCCACGCAATGTTTTTTGTGTAACACTACGATTTGCAGGATGCCGAATCCGGGGGCAACCAGCCTGCTTGTTTTCCAATGAGCTTTCGGGGAAGCTGTGCTGGACACTCTTTCGAAAAACAACATCGAATACAGCGGTTCACGGAATTCCGAGCCTGGCAAAGCATCCAAGCGAAAACAAGACCTCATGCTTAATCTCATGCTTAAGGGGCTTAATGCCTGGGACCCGTGAGAGCACGTTGGAGCCTCCATGGCTGAATGGCTTTGGCCGAAAAGAAGACCAGGACAAGGGCAGCGACTCTTCAGACGAGGACTTAGGGTTGAGGGGTTCGTGTTGTGAGTCGGAATCAACCTGAGGCTCTTGGCATCACGCAAAGCACGCTCCTCTCAAAAAGAGAACCATCGTCCCACCCCATTGCATCCACATAGAACTACTGCTGGGCGCACACATCTTTGGTGATTTCGATAATGGGCAGGTCCTGGCAAATCTACTTTCTGAGGACGCCCCACTCAAACATCTCAGCCCATGAACTTAGGTTCGTCCACCTGCACTAAGGAGCCGTGTTGAGGTGTATGCTAAACCGTCGACCTGCTAGTGGTGCTTGCTAAACTCTCCTGCTTCTTGTTGCGGAAGGTCGCCTCTTCAGCTTGCTTGACGATGTACCTGAGGAAGCTTCAGAGAGAGCACTCCGACATGCAGCATCCATCGTGAGGCTTGAGGCATGTTCTCCCTCCTGCATCGAATTTCTGGTCGATGGCTGTGATTGGCCAGATCATTGAAGCTAAACGAATTCACGTAATTGATAGATGTGATCTATATATGTAACGACTGTAACGGCATCAGTCCAAACCGGACTCAGCGGACCTGCTGATGTCGAGCGCCACCAGCTTCACCTCAGCTGCTTGTCTTGAGCCTGCGCAAGCGTGGAAGCCCTGAGATCTGGACCACCTTCGTCTTGCGGGGCTGCTGGGTGACCACCTGATTCTTTCGAGGTTTTTAAACGCAACCATGCCCACGGACCACCTGAGGAAGTTGAGAGTTCAAGCTCCCCACCTGCCACTCATCTGGCCGCAGCTGCTTCCCATTCGGAGTGCGAATCAGGAGGCCGCAAACCTGTCCAACAGAGGCTCGGAAATCTACGAAGAAGGCAGTCTTGCGGAGCCTCACAAGGTCTTGCTGCTGCATCTTCTGAAACCGCCAGCCCTTCCACAGCCGTGCCTCCAGGTCGTCATCGAATTCGCCTCTGGTCGCCTCAGTAGTGCGCCAGTTGTCTGTGTTTCCAGCCTTCAGGCTCTTTCAGACGTTTCAAAGCTTCAGCCAGCAATGAAGCTCCGAGGCGGGAAGCCAAAGAGAATCCCAGATCGTCAGGGGAGATCAAGCCCAAACCAAAGAACTTCAGATGGAGACAAACTTGGCAGCCCACAACGGGAAGGAGGAACGGGTGGAGATCGCCGCCGATCTCAGGTTGAGGTCAGGGAGGTGAGTGTTAAGTCCTCAACGAGCCCCGTGCCTCAAGAGCTGTAGTTCTGGCCAGTTAAACTCGAAGGCTTGTGAACTAAAGCACGTCTGAAAGCTGCGCTACCCAGAAGCTTAGCAAACATTGGCACGCTATGATCAGCAAGCAGAGATGAAGCAACTGTCAGGAATAGCGATTATGAGGCTTGGAAAGGTGGCAAGGGACACAAAAACATGCTGTACGAAAGCTCCTGCCTCCCTCCAGTCCTCCAGGATCGTGTAGCCACTTGCCTTGTAACATCCCAAACCATGGGCACAGACCCTGTGCCCCTTGCATCTGCGGTGGCCTGCAAAACTTGGAGAAATGTGTCCAGCTGTCGTGGAGGCTTGACCTGGGCCATGCCAGTCGCCAGATATCCGCAGTAGGAGTGGGTTGACAAAGTATGCGGGAATTGGAGGGCATTGTGGCCTACAATTCGAAGTTAACAGAGACGGCTGCGGGTACACTGAATTTCGTCCGCATTTAGTGACAAGCGCACGGACAATTATCAATCTTAGCTGTTCCAATAGCCATGTCCCATGTCAGCGTGATGCTGGTTTTGTAGTCACGAAATGCAGCCTGTAGCAGAATCCTCCAGCAGCATGGTACGAACCATGTCCTATGGAAACCTTTCGAAAACAATCCACTGCGACATCCATTATCGTCCTATCTGATGATGTTGCCAAGCTGCTTCAAGCACATCTTTCAACAGAGACTTCAGAGCATCCACCTGCAACCAATTGAAGAGTTGCTGCATTCGGCAGAAAAAAAAACGCAGCGACGTGCACACAAGCAACCCAATAACACCGCATGCTGGTGTACATCCAGGTATCTTCTCATCCTAATCATTTCCTTCATAGCTCTTGCAAGTCAGCCCGCCTTGGCAGGGGAAACCTGGCAGGAGCTTGTGGCTGTGCTGCACATCCTAGAACTTCAGCTCCCGTGACTTCGGTACCGTTTTGTTTTGGCGAACGTGACGGTGGGGTCTTGGAGCGTGTTGTTCACAATTCATAGCTGCTAGCTATACAACCTCTCAAGCCAATGATCACATCCTTCGTCGGGTCCGGCTCCCAGCTACGTAGCTCTGGTGAACGACAGCAGGGACAGCGCCTCCAAGGGAGTCTCCACAGGAGTCTCGACCTCCACAGTTGCCTCGCAGAATTGCAAGGTGAGGAGAACACCTTTTTGGCCAATGTGGCCAACAGGATTCAAAAGGGGCCTGCCTGAAGCAGGCATCCTCAGCTTGTCGCGAGGCAGTGCGAGGGCAGTGCAAGGCACATAAAACATGCCATTGTTGACCGGACACCTCTGGATTCTAGACTCTTCTGCAACACTCCTCCCAAGTCTGCGGCGCGACCCACGGTTCCGCGTGGCCCTGCGCCAGCCCAGCACCTCAACGTCTAGTCTAGCCAAAGAGGGTCCCACCCCCGCCTCAGCAATCGTCAGCATGCTCCCAGAATGCCACAGAATGTCGCCCCCCCCCTCGCCGCCCCAAGCATGGCTAAGGTTCTGACTGGTAGCACCATGACAGGAGCCGGCAGCATCCACGACCGGCCTGCACCATCCACTTGGACACGGTAACTAGCCACACATGCTGCAAGTTAACGAGACACACAGCTAAGGAATGCAAAGGATGCCCAAGTATAACGAGCTACTCGATTCTGCGAAACAACAGTAGCAACAGCTCACTGAACTCACTGAAGCTCACTGAGCTAGCACCGGAAAAAGAACCCAGACACCGCCCCGAGCCTGGTCGAGGCGATTCCCTCACCGCCCTGGCTGCAGCCACGGCCCTGGCTGCAGGTGCTGCAGCTGCTGGCGTTGAAGGAGCAGAGGGAGCCTGGGAGAGAACTGTTCCCGCACCCTCGTGCAGTTAACCATTGCAAGTCGCATGCCGTTCAGACTGCTGCTTCCACGGCAGGTGCATCCAAAATGCCTCTCCTGCGATGCCCTCGTGACCACTACTATCGCCAAGGCTGCAACGCGCGTCAGAGCCATGAGTTCAAAGGCCTTGGCCAGTCAAGCAAAGCGCTTGGTTGCTGAACGAAATGGCCATGTCCAGAACGGTAATGAATGTGAGCGAAATGGCCCACCTCCATCTTGATACCAGCACGAAGGATTGCACTTCTTGTGCGGCCCACAAAATATACCACAATGCGCCAACACACAAAACAAGCGGTTATCTCATTAACGTAGTCAAGCCGGCCAGAATATCCCACAATGCTGCTTTCTGATTGAAGGATGTGTCCCAGGAATGGCAAAATCTGTAAGCCAAAAGGTCACATCAAACGCAATGCTAAACTTCGTCTTGAGAAGGAGGCTGGGGTAAAGGGCCGTGGGAGGGGCACGGGGCAAAAGCCGTTTTGCAGCATCACCGTTGCCCCCACAAAGGATTTCCTGGAATTGCACGTAGCTGTCTCTCTCCTTCTGCTCAAGATCCTCCTCCTGCTCCTGCTGTCGCTGTGCACGAAAGACAGAGTGCAACACTCCACAATGAAAAAAAGAGCACGGGATCCCCCCCCACCAACAATGCCCCCGAATCGCGGGAATTGAAAAGAAGAAGATCCGTTCAGGTTCCGATTGGAACCCTCGAGTTGGTGCCAAGGGAGTGCACATCCTGGACTTCGAGCCTCGAAGCCCGCGGCTGCTTAGAAACAAATATCAATAATAATAATCATCATAATCATAATAATCATAATAATCATAATAATCATAGTAATCATAATAAGCATAATAAGCATAATAAGCATAATAATCATAATAATCATAATAATCATAATAATCATAATAATCATAATAATCATAATAATCATAATAATCATAATAATCATAATAATCATAATAATCATAAGAAGAAGAAGAAGAATCATAATAATCATAATAATCATAATAATCATAATAATCATAATAATCATAATAATCATAATAATCATAATAATCATAATAATCATAATAATCATAATAATCATAATAATCATAATAATCATAATAATCATAATAATCATAATATAATAATTATAGTAAAAAAAATCATAATCATAATCGTAATCATAATCATAATAAAAGCCTTGACATGCAAAGCCTTCCCAGTGTTCTTGGGTGTGTTCGTTGCTCAGTGGGCTTTGAAAGAGCGGAGGAGCCCATCGCAGAGTCCATGCCCTTGAGCTGCATGTGGGACAAATACTGAGGAGCTATTGGGTTGTAAGGTTGAGGTTGAAAAAAAAATCGTCACTCAGAAGTCGGATCACCATATCGGTATCTGAATTCAACAATGCACTTTTCTTCGTCGCCCAATCGCTGCCGGATGAACACGTGACAGGATTGAATTCGGTGAGACACAGCGAGGATTTGCTTTGTGGAGGCAGGGCTCACTTTTAACAACTGTGGCACCTCAACCTTCTTACGAGTTGGTGACGAGCTTCCTCCCACTGGGCCATGATCTCCCTTCCAGCTGCATCGGCAGACATCAGGCACGGGAGCTGAGGAGATCACAACTTCTGGATGTCCAAAAAACCAAAATACACGTTGATAGAATATAGAATCTCCTCCAAATATGGATCAAAGAAAAGTGCATTAGAATGAGATCACCCATAACTCAAACAAGTGTACCAGATAAGATTGGTAATGCTAATGATGTTAATAAAGCATGAAAGCTGCAATCAAGAAAGCTCAAGGAAATGATGGGATCGTCTTTAATGTCAGATAATAGGATCTCAGATTTGGAATGTTTTCCAAAAGTTAAGAGATGTAAGACATGAAGACATATCAGAGATTCATCATCCAAAAATAAGATCTCCTGTTCTTGAAGGTGATAGCACATGGCTAAGGCAACTGGGCATCACGCGCAGACATGCTCATTAGCATGCCCGGCACATGCCAGCGTGCGCTTGCGCCCGCAACTTGCGAAACTCAACGAGGCAACATCAACAGCTTCCCTACTGTAAGGGCGGCGCGAAGATGAGCCAACACAATTGGGGCGCAACAAGTGTAGACATGTTCATAATGGTTTGCCAGCAGCAACCGTGTGTGTGTGTGTGTGTGCTGGCGCACACAATTCCATGTACGTGCACTTGCGCGCCTCATATTTGGTCCACTGCATTCCGCTGCCCCTGTAGGCGTGTAGAATGCCTGGAGGTGTGAGCAAGAAATGCAAAATGAAGGTCAGCAAAACCAATTAAAGTGGCAGGGAAGCTTCAACCACCTCCACTGCCATTGAAGGTTTGAGACTGGTGTTTTTTGGTCGCTTGTGAGAACAAACCGCGATGTTTGTGCAGCAAGGAAAACTGACGCTTGTGGCTCCACAGCCTAACAGCAAGCTAACAAACACTGGCATCAGTCTAGACTCTAGCAGACTCTGCCACGTGTTGTACGTGTCCCGTCGCTTCGTCCAGACCTGACATTGACATGTGGGGTGATCCGGCCCCAATCCAATACTTAGTTTTCTGGATATTTGTACTTCTTCTTAATGGGGGCATTTGTGGGTTATGTTTTAGCTACTTTAGGACAAATGAGTTTAATGAGGAGTTACAGCAATTACAAATTCATTTTACGCTTTTCCATCACCAATAGAATGGCTTTGTGGAGGACATTATATCTACAATGCAACATCAAAGAGGTTCTTTGTCTTTCATTTCTACATTTTATGTTCCAATAATCCTTTACGCAATTATACTAATCGTAACGACTCATTTTTCCTTTATGTATTAGGACAGATGTCTATGGAAAGGTAATAATTCTCTGTCTATCTATCTATACCTTCTTCAAAATCATTTCGGCTATTCTTCTTTCTCATCCAGAGAATGCATTAGAAGCATGTGGATTACTTCCCTCTTATGCCAATATGCTATGTTAACAAGCTGTACCAAATAAAAATGCAAGATTCATAATCCTATTTTGCTTTACGAAACGTCTTTCAATATCATTCTATTGTGTAATTAAGACGTCCAGTAGATTTAGCGGTTTTTTGTCGGTACTTTTGGTTTCTTTCATTTTTTCATTTACTTGGTAGGTGGTCAATTTCCTGTAGACAACTTTCTATCTTATGGTCGCATTTTGACATTTCATTCTTCTTCTTATTGCCGGTGTTTTAACCGCTTGAAAAATCTGAAGCAAAGATTGTTTCTGAAAGACGTAAAACTATGGATATAATTTGTCTCGATGATGCTCAAGTTTCAGATGCATTAATTAGTAATCTCGAGAAGAGGGTTGTCAACAATTTTTTCAAGCTTGGTTGAAGCTTAGACCATTGATCTAAAGTGAACAAATAACTGAACTACCATCCGTAACTAACTTGGTACAAACACAGCACAAAAGTCCTGGCGTTTGTGGGAAGTTTGAAGCTAGTTGAAGCTCGACAAAAAAGGTCCATCCGACGGTTGTTGGGTAGCTTGGACTAGCTTCAAATTACACATATAATAGTTTTTTTTGACAAAACACGATAGCTTAACCGCAGTTTCTACATCTTATACACAACAATATATATGTATATATATATATACATATATACAGATATATATATATATATTACGCAGTTCAACAGGGGCTAGTAGAAATTAAATGCAAGTAATACAGACGTTACCCGTCAGGAAACATTATTGTGAATGGCTTTTTTAAACTTAGGGCTCATTTTCAGAATATTTGTTATTTCTTTACGCTTATAAGATTATGAAAATGCACGAAAACAACTATTGAATAGGGTGTTATTATCACGAGTGAAGAGACAAAACCGCGAGAATAATACTGGACTCGGGCCCCACACAAGATTCTCTTATTGGGTCTTTTAAAAAGAATGAACTGAATACATGAGTAAAGGGCTATGTAAAAATATACTAAATATGGGCCTTTTATTGTTCACCGGTTGAGAAATTGTAATCATACAGGCTTCAGAATTATGATGTATTATCTGGGTTCATCGTCGTAATCTCCGGAACATGAATGTCAGTCCTTATCAGAATAGAATTATCTGCATCAGGAAATAGGATGGGATCTCCTGAAAAACAGAACTCTGTCATGTAAGCATTACATTGCATGGCTTTCTTATGATCTTACCTTCTTTTGAGTACTGCCTGGAGGATTTGCAAATTACCTTGCCCTGTGATTCAAGGGTCTCTAGAAGTGGTATATCCTGGAGGCAATGACATAGAAGAAACTTTTCCTCTTGCAGTTTGCTTAGTTCTTGCCATTTTAGAGTGAGTTTTTGTAATTCGGTTGAAATTCTTATTAATTAATACTTTTTGAACAGGGTTTTGGGGTTTTGGATAAGGCCTTTATCCTCGTAACACATCTTTTCTTAAAGAACTAAGTTAAAACTACTACTTCCAAGCAAGAGCTTTGACTATCCGTATTAGTTTATTAATAGCATTTCTAGTTAATTCTAGACTTCAATCTTTTCTATTGTACCCTGCTCCCTCGAAGAACGACCACCACTTTGAAGCCGAATGCCATCTTCGTTTTCCCGCCGTCACAGAGCAATCGCAGACTTGAGACCCTGTGGCCAAATCTGAATCATCGGTACTGCGCTAAACGGGAAATGGTCATTCCCTGCGACTTGTTCTTGGATAATGAAGCTATCTTTTGTGCGTTTCTTATGAAACTCGACATCCCAGGTTCCAAGCGTCAAGTCTCGAGTTGATTCCGGAAGCTTTCGTTTTGAAAGAGGAAGCAAGCAAAAAGTAGAGATTGAGGTGAGTGTGGAGCCTGCCGCAAGAAGCCGGTCCTGGTGTGGGCGAAAAAGATTTTGCCACTGACATGGTGACACAAGAACAGACAGCCAAAGTGGGCAGAAACAGTGACTTGTATTGCAGGTCTAGCTTCAACAGACGTCACCTCGAAGACTTGCGGAAAGCGCCCCTGGTGCTCCAGTTGCACCTGCAGGCCCTCGTCTCCGCTCTCTCAATCAAAAAACGGGCGCCCAGTGCTGTCTAGCGCCTCTAGGTCTTTGCCCGCTTGGCTGTAGCAGTCACGCAGACTCAACCTAATGCCCTATCATCCAAGATGGATGGGCTATCTCAGTGGCCGAGGCAGGGCAGGATGCGGAAGGCGGCCTGGATCTGAAAATAAACAATTACTGGCGGGGCAGGCACAGCAACTTTTGTGGACCTTTCTTACGTTATTGACTCTGCCGACAAAAAAGAAGAAGCTTTCAGGATCCATTGTATGCTTAATGATCACAGACTCTTGAATGCATTTTATACTTATCCTGGAAAGTACTTAAGGGTTTACGCCAGCCTTTATCAATTCCAGAAAGTTGTCATGGAGCTTCGAGGGGAACAACTCTCGTTGCCTGACAGCCTTGCTCTACACGCTGCCAGATTTCATATTACTGGACCTGAACAAGGCAATTGCGTGTTCACTTGGAAGGTCACTGCCCCCAGCAGCACAAACGAAGTTTCACTGCAAGTGCCCTTGCAGGGAAATGCGAGGGATGTGCCAGAAATCAAAGAAGTTTTAATCAATGCCAGCACGTCGAGTCCTGATGAGGTCATTGATGCGCCCAGATGGGCTAGCAAGCCCATCAACCATATTTCGGAAAATCCTAGACAGCACTTCCTCAATAGTTACTCAGGAAGTGACCGAGTTGGCCAAGGAAGACTCTGTGACATCAGAGGTCAGGACGAAAATCATCAGGCAAAGAATTTCCAAAATAATCTGGCATGAAGATGATCTGGAAATTCACTACCTCATTCTGGATCAGCAAGCCCCGTATGTCATAATGACTGGAAGTTGCAACGATGCGCCTGAGCTTCAGCAAGTTCCTAGATGCCAATCCTGTAATCTGCTCAAGCAGAGTAGAGTCTGCCCAGAGTCCATCTTCATGATTGACATCCATACCGGTGTACTTTGACCAAAAAGATACCTCTTTTGCTTGGAGATTCCCTCCAAAGAGGGTCACGCCAATTGAAGGTATACTGTTACAATGTCCGGGGCCTAGGTTCGGGGATGGAGGATTTGATGGGGTTCTTGGATCAATCGCATTGTGACATCGTGCTCGTGCAAGAGACCAAACTTAGAGAAGCTAGCGAGTACACCACTGCTCGCTGGATCTGTGTTGGCTCTGGCACCACCGCTCAGAAACACGCAGATTTATGATCCTTGTTCGGAGATCACTCACCAATGTGCAGGAGGTCAGGCATGATGCTGTAATCCCAGGTCGAATACTCCGAGCGCGGTTCCCCCAAGGAGCCACAGGCCGCTTGCTCAGTGTAGTCTGCGCTTATCAGCATGCTTGGAACCCAAAAGAGCCTACCATCCTGGGTCTTGACATATCTATTCCAATCGTGAGTAGGATTCTGCTTCCCATAACGACCTGTATGGCAAAAGCTAAGATGTGCATGTGGGTTGCCTTCTCCAGCTCCAGCGGAGAGAGCTGGAACCCTCACAATGTGGGTGAGGAGCTGTCCTTGAATCAGCATAATCAGGACAGCGAGACAGCTCCTTGGGACCGAGCCGGCTGCTTGGAGTGAAGTGATCGTTCTCGATGGGGCGGTGTGACATACCGCTCCCAGCAGAAGAGGGCAGTCGCCTGCACACCCTGGTCCTTTGCGCATGGTTAACAGCATTAATGGCATTAAGCCCTGGCTTATTTCCAATACTACGCCAAACCACCTCAAATTTAGAGTACAGACAGTGAAGACAGTGAATCCCATGCCCGAGCACACGGCCAATATTGCGAGAATGGGTCCCCCCCCTTTGGGCAAAGGGGGCCCTTAAGCCCCCCTTAAGCCCCCCCTTAATGAAATTTTACAAGATCAATGTTCACAGACTGGTTTGATCACACAATCCAGAATACACAAGATGCACAGCAAAGTCACTTGATGCAATCACTCACTCAGCAATCTTGTTTGTGCCGCCTTGAGCCAAAGCATCGAGTCAATGCTCATGTTGAGCATGTCGCTGTGCCAATGCTTCTCTTGAAGCATGCCAATTGTGACCTTATATTCTAACACGGTCCCTCAGCAGAGACAATGTTTGTCTGTGCTGTTCTCCAGTCACAATTCAAAAGATTTCATAAAACAAAGATTCAATCAACCAATCAACGGAGTATGTCGAAGAAAATCTCAACTGCACACGACTACCAATCAGCTCAGCAGTGAACAATGCACTCAGAGGCTCGGCTCAATCCTTTTGCTTTACAAGCGAATCGCAATCGCTTCGAAAGAGAACTTGCAGCGAAGCCTGCAATGTTCTGTTGGCATACCGAATGCTCCAATGCATCCGAATCAATACACCACACGGAGTGGTCCTGAGAAACGGTCAGCAAAGTTTCCAATCGGGGTCCAATGAGCTGCAGCAAATGAAAACCACATCATCACCAATGAAAAGCATCAACTGTAAAACCAATCAGCAAAGCAAGAACCAATCAAATGCAATCCCATCTTTCCAGGCCAGACAAAATTGTTGAGCGCCACTGCACCTCAATCGATCTTGTTGATCGTCGTTGTGATTCGCAATCGGCTCCCAGAATCATCAACGACCGTCACCTCTGAGCTGCCAATGCTGTTCCGACTCAAAGCATTCCGCTGGCTCGCCAATGTGCTCTGCAATGATGCTCCGGGTCCTGCTGTGCGACCCGCTCCCAATAGGAAGCTGAGCTTCGATGGCAACGCAATGTGCCGGTGGATGGAATGCTGTCCAGAGTGCACCATGTCCCAATGGAGACCATCAGTCAGCTCGCGCAATGTGGTCTGCGTGTCCAAAAGCACCAATGTGCCAATCTCTTCCGGAGTCAGGACAATCTCAGCCTCATCCTGTGGAGGCTCGAGAATGGTGGCAAATCCGCAGTAGCTCTGGTTATGCCAATGCTTCAAACCACCAGTGCCATCAGCATTCTTCAATACCACTGGCAATCTTCCCACTGCATGGTTCACACCAATGATCATCAGGTTCTCATCTCTCAATGCCTTGATGCTTGGGATCTGATCAATCCACATCAATAGCTTCGAAAGGCTGTGTGCCACCGAAAGGAAGGAATTCGCCTGCTGGCACGGAAAATCGCTGACCAATAACCTGCCTGTCTCGACCAATCGCATAGCAAGTGTGTCTGGCAATGCAATGAAGCAGGGAAAGGAGACCAATGCATCCGGGATTGTTGGAACCGGGTGCAAATGCACAATCCGCCAATTGCTAATGAGCATTGTGCGAAGGCTCAATGGCAGAAAGGATTGGTTAGCATGCCACAGCCAATCCGGGGAGAAATTGGCGACTTGTCCCAATGTTCTTCCAGGCTGTGCATTCAATCGCATCAATCCCCAGGCAATGGCCACTGAGGGGCCGCATCCCAGAGGATCGGGCCACCTGCTGGACTTGAGGCAATCCAATGTCACCAGCCGCAATGGATTGACGTCCAGGGCTTCCAATGGGGTCAGGCTCCCGGTATCCGATGCGTTGATGAGCATCGTGCAGATCCCCTTCTCAATGAGCCGCAATTTCTTCAATACCGCCTTCGCCCTTGGGACGTCCAATGCGACGTGTCTCGCAATGGACTGGCAGAGCTGCTCGTCCGGCAGCCAACCAATGGAATCCACAATCATCTGTTGAAGATTCCCAATTCCCATTGTGGCATCTCGGATCAATCTCTCCTTTCTCTCCTTCAATTCTTCCAAGCTGAGCACCTGGGCTGGCAATGCCACTTGCTGAGGCATCGGTGCGTCGGCCATGGCTGATGCAGGCTACACAATGTCAGACCAATGTCTCACGCACACAAAGCTCTAAGCTCCGAGACCTGAATGAGTGATCGCAATGTGACGCAATGTAAGCCACAGTTCAGCGTGACCAATGCTTCAAAATTCGCAGAAAATCAATTCTTCATGCAATCCACTCACCGGAAAATCAATTCAGGATTTCGGGGTCTATGTACAATGACAGTCAGAAGGAGCAATTTGTTCAATTGCAGTGCCTTGACGGTCTCTGTTTGCCAATGTCGTTTCAATGGCGGTCCGCTCCTAACCGCAATGCGTTGACGGCGGTTGAGCGATGCTCATAAAGTCAATCTTAAACACAATAAACAATAAACAACATGACTGACCGAACAATGCACAATGCAGTGACTGACATGTCGTGCTCATGACCGCAATGTCAATGCACATGCAATGTACTGTCAAGACAGCAATGTTCTTCTCTCTCTCTTTCTCTCAATGCTCAACGCAATCCAATTTAGACCGCGGAGGTCGAAGCGAAAACGACACAATTCCTCGGTCCCTCAAACAGGACCGGAAGAGCAATGCAATGACCCAAGCCCCGTAAGGCCGCGGGCAAGAAGGGTCGGGCGGGAGGGGAAACAAAGGAAAAATGAAACAATTTTTTTTCGATCCAGTGCTCAGCCATATCGAAATGGGTTCCTGACCAATCCAAGCTTTCCAATGAGGTTGTGCAGTGTCTCAGTGGAGACGTATTTGGTCAATACATCTGCCGGGTTGAACTTGGTTCCTATCTTACGTACTTGCAGCAATCCGCTCTGTACAAGATTTTGCATGTACAAGTAGCGCAATTCTACGTGCTTTGTACGCTTTCCAGCACCAAATCTAGTAGCCATACTCTTACCTGCAGTAGAATCGGTGTACGCAACAATTTGCACGCGTCGCGCAAACTCCGCTTCCAAGACAAGATTCTTTACGAACAATGCCTCGTTCACTCCTTGGCCGATGGCGTAAAGTTCAGCCTCGCCTGAAGACAATGCCACAGTGGCCTGCGTCCTCGAGGAGTGAATGACATCGCAATCAAGAATCTGCACCGTGCTTCCGCTGGTGCTCTTGCGTGTTCGAGAACAACCTGCCCAATCGCTGTCCACATAGCAAGCAACGTCAAGGGTACAGCGCCAATCGACCAGCATCTGGCTCGGGCGTAGTCGTAGAACAGACTGCTTCGTGCCTACAATGTACCTCAACAAGTGCTTCAGCTTAGCTAGACTCTCCAATGTGGGCGACTTCACGTCACGTGAGAGTTCCTTAACAGCGTAAGAGCAATCCGGCCGAACGAAAGCTAGCCAGAGCAATTTCCCTACTGCGGTTCGGTACTTAGCGTGCTCAGCTGGCTCCAATGGCGTGTCTGCGTCTTGCATGCGTTTCAATGCGGTCGTGCCAGTGGTGTTGACATTGTTTGCCGATTCCATCTGGTAGATTTTAAGCAGTTCCTCAATGTAACCCTGCGACATGAACATGTCAATCGAATCGCCGTTGTGCTTGAGGCGACGTCCGAGAAACGAATGTTCTGTTCCAGGCTCCAATGAGCCAGTGATCTTCACCAACAGTTCTTTGCCTAAGGCTTCAATGAACAACTTCGACTGCTCAGAATCTCCAACAATCAGCAAGTCATCTACGTAGGCCAAAACATACAGCTGTTTGGACGAATGACAATCAAGTTCCCGTCAGACTTGCATCGTCTGAATCCTAGCTTAGCCATGACTTTGGCAAAATGCTCTTGCCACAATCGAGGGCTTTGTTTCAGGCCATACATAGCTTTGTTCAATTTCCACAGGCACTTGAAATCGGGGTAGTACTCAGCCGGTGGCCAAATGAAAATGTCTTCAGTCATCGGCGCATGCAGGAATGCTGTAGACACATCTGCAAGGTTAATACACCAATTGCGTGCCAACGCCATGATCAACATGATGCGTAACGTGACCAATGACGGCGTGCTCGCAAACAGCGTGTCAGAGTCCAATGCCTGTGCGTCCTGATAGCATCCCTGGACTACCAATCTCATCCGCAAATCCGTGTCTGTTTTCCATCTCTTGACCCATTTGACACCAATGGCATTCCTGATTTGCTCTTCAGTGCACTCTTCAATTGGCTTCTCGGTGTAAACCGTGAAGTCTTTCATGGACTTCATCTCTTTGTTCATACCAATCTTTTGGGCTTCTTCAGGGAATTCACGGGTGATGTCCCAAATGATCGGTTCCGAGAGTTTCAATTCTTCTTTGTATTCTTCACTGTCGTAGTTGACTTCTACAGGGATGTCAATGCCATCTTTGGTCGTGACCTTAGCTACACCAACCTGTCCGCAAATCCAATTCGTTCCATTCCTTCAGAGGTCCTACCTGCCAATGCTGCGAGGGTGGCAATCTTCTAACAGTGCGAACTTTCACTACACCGTCTTCTGTTGCCACAATGATTTCATTCGCCTCGGTGTCTCTACCTAGCCACAAAGCAATCTTCCAGGGCGTGTCTGCCTTTCGTGCTTTCGAAGGGGTAATGACCTTCGCTTGTACGCACTCTGCAAATTCGCACAATCCACCTTCATAGTTTCGGTTCCACCTACGAAAGTACGATGTGAATCCGTCAGAATGCACGAGGTATCGGTTAATCAACCACTGCGCATGTTTGACTGCCCAAGGATACAATGCACTGTTGGAGTCAATCGCAAAACCAGTGTTGTGCTCAACCTGATACAGTAGCGTACGCAATTGTCCGTACAATGTGCGTTGCATCTGTCCTACAGATCCACTTGACTGGGAATGTTCCTTTGGGGCTGCACGCAGGCTCAATCCACCTAACTCAGAGCAAACACGTTGACATAATGCTTTGAGGGGACTCTCCTGGTCGTACTGCAATACGCCAAATGTCCTACCACATTCGAAGATGAATTTCTTCAGTTCGGCTACACTGTAGTCAATCTCACCTTTCGATGGGACAACGACAGCCATGCCCAATCCAGATATCACGTCAACTGCAGACAGAACCTTCTGCAGAGGCAAATCCTTGTTCGTGGCACTAAAGCAATAGTCCACTTGGATAACAGGCTGACGGTCAATCTGTTTCTTGGCTGGGCCATGTCTGCCTTTCGCCTTGACACAATGTGGGCACCAATCTCTAAACGGCAAATGAGTCAATTCGTGTTGTTTTCTTTCGGACGAGGAGGGTTCTCCAGGAACCTTCAATCCTTTCGGGACTCTCGCGTGTCTGTCAGAGGTTTCCTGTTCAGTTCTCTCATACTCAATCGGAATGGGAACGAAAACAGAGAATCCTCTCCATGCTTGAAACAAATCCCTACGAGGATCTTGTTCGGGTTCCTTCACAGCACCATCTTCATCACGAACAGAACACCAATAGTCCTCAATTTCTGTGCCATTCGATTCAGGGAACTGAGATTCCACAATGTATGTGTAGCGATCTGCCATCAGTGAATCGCCAAATTCGTTATCTCGCTTGGCATCAATCGGGGAAGGCTCATCATCAGGATGAACCAAATCAGTTCGTTTCTGGTGAATCATGCGAATCCAAAACGTAGGCAATTGAACCCAATAGTCAGTAGTTCGCTCCGTTCCAGTCAATGGGTCAGGAGTGTGGAAGAGCCGCAATAGATCTTCTTTCATCTTGTTGTCAAACACTTGAACAGAACGCAATCTGCTCAAAATCGTGTTTTCAGAGTCCAAGGTCTCCAATACCTCGGTCCCTCGGCTCAACACACGACGCTCAATGGAAGAACTACTGGGCTGTAGCGCTTCAGAACTGGGCTTCAATGCCTGCGAGGGCTCAGGCTTAGGTGATGTTTTGGGCTGAGGCTTCAATGCTGTCGAGGGCTGCGAAGTCTCCGGGCGCTTCCGCAGCCTTTGCTTCAATGCAAAGCGAGTGCTCCCAGTCCACGTTCGATCATCCTTAGCCTTGGAGTCCTCCAATGAACGAAAATCCGCGTCAATCACCGTTTTACGACTGCCATCCTTGTAGGACTTACGGGTTTCTCTCCTACCTGTCAATCTCTCTTCTTCTACGGGCATCTCTGTGCTCAATCTGCCAAGGTCAAACATGGCACTTCTGGGCTTCACGTGATGACGAATCAATTGATGTGTCTTGTCATCTACTTCCCAGTAGTCCATGTGCTTGAAGTCTTGCTTCTTCCTACCTTTCTGTGCAGCAGCAATGAGCGAGGAGATCTTAGACACATGATCATAAGCAAGATCAGCAATGTCTGTTACACCGCGAAGTTCCACATCCAATGCTGTGAGGTCAATCTCTGCCATGAGAGAGTTAATCTCCAATTCGCTTTTGGGTACATCGGACGATGAGAAAGGAATCACAGTAGGAGTAAGATACACCAATGTACCTTGACGAACAATGGGCACCGGAAGTCCTGTGGGAGTGATCAATGCCATGAAGTCGCGAGACATGACTGTCCAGAAATCTTGCAAGAGAAAACGAGAAACACTAACCAATGGAAACGGGATGTTTTCACACACATAAAACTGGATACACACTGAATGACCATTGCAATCGAGTTCAACAACTCTCTTGCCCAAAATGTTGAGGGTTTTGCCTGAAATGCTCCTAAGGGCTGGACAATCAGAACCAACAGGGAGCAATGGGTAGTCCTCTGCAAACCACGGAGGACAGCAATTCGCGGATGCTCCGCTGTCGAACAAAATCCAACTCTTGTCGACAATTCCAGACTGCAAGTGAAACTCTGCTAGCGTGTCTGAAGGTGGGTCAATCAGCGACTGACTGGACTGTTCAATGCGATTCAAACAGTCGTCGGTAGTCTGCTCAATGCTCTCAACTCTCGCTGGCACTCCGGTCGACAGAACACCAATGAGCATCAAAGCTCCAATGAACATCTTGCTCAGTAACCCAGGTTGTGATGGCCTTGCAATGCCACCTCGCGTTCGTCTTTGAGAGAGCAATGGGTTGGAGGAACTTGCGAGCTCTTCTGTCTCTCCAATCTCTTC